GTAAACACCATTAGTTGCCGTTAATCACGCTTGATTTGATCAATCGCGTCTACTCTATTGTCGTTTTCCACGTTATCATCGCCGTACTATATTCTACATCGATTGTCATTGCTTTGATGCGCATTTTCCTAGTTTTCTACTATTATTTACGGTTGGTTTATTCTGAAAATCGAATTAAAAAAAAAGTGTTCAAATTAATGAAAATTTTTAATTTTAGATAGATTAAGTTGATCTCGAATGCTACAAAACTCATATAAGGATCAACTCTTCTGCCTGAAATTTTTTTTATGTAACACTCAAACCTGAAATATTTAATCAAGGGAAGATTCACAAGCAGTTCATCCCAATTAATATTGGTAGATTTGTCAAATTTTAATTTAACAAAACTAAATTATAATTCGTAAAATTAATAAATTCTATTATCCTTTCAACTCCACTATTTTGAAAAAAAAGAAATCTTATTTGGATGAGATGAGAGATTTCTCAATTCCATCATTTATCACTAAAATAGAATTTAAATTATTTAATTTTATTTCAAAAATATCCTTCAAAAATCCGGATTTTATTTTCCAAACATAATATAAAATTTATGAATTTCACAACCCATCAATCTAAAAGATCAATTAAATTATTTGTTCAAATATTAAATTTTATTTATTTTTAAAAAATATTGTTCCAAATAAGATATTTCAATATAAATTTTAACTTTTATTAATTTGACTCTGAATTAAGATTCAAATTTGCAACCTCAATATTTTAAATGACGGCTCCAATATCTCTAAGAGCATATTTTGGTTTAAACATACCCAAAATCAAACCTCATAATTAATTATCTAAACTTGTATTTTGGTTTGATTTAATTTCTAGGCTTGACGATGAGATGGTGTGAAAGTGTCAACACGTCATCACTGTCGCTATTAGAAAAGACTTTTTGATATACCACGAATGCAGACTAAATCTTTAAATCACGAAAAATTGAGAATTGATGGCTGCATCTGCAATTGTGAAAGTGTATGCTTTTCGAATATTCCTCATTTCACTTTTATTGGATGAGCTAAAAAAATATACATTTCCTTGTGATGGAAGCGCAACGATATTTTAGACTCATGTTCCGATCTGTTTAACGAGAATATAAATAATAATAAATACATTTGAGACGGACCAAATAGGGAAATTAATATTCATAATACTCATTCTCTTTATTATAAATTATAAATTATAAATTATAAATATTTTATTTATAAGAATCAAACACTCAACTTCACCCAAAAAAAAAAAATCGTTGAATTACTGATTTCTACATTTATTGGTTAACCTATTAATCCACTAATGACATGCTTAACACGCAATTAATTAGAAACGTAAATTGGTTCAGAATGAAAAAGGTTTCTATCTCTTTTACCGACAAGAAAAGGCTATCATGCTCTTTTGAAACTAAAAGAAAAATCACGGAAAAAAAAAATTCTTTCAAATCATGATGTTAGGGCATGTTTGGTAGTAAGCATCAAGTAATCTTTTTATTTTCTTTTAAACATAGAATCTTGGTGTTATTAGTATGAAAAATTGATAGCATTTTGAATGTAAATATTCTACTCAGTTTATGGTTATAAGATAATTAATCACTTCTTGGTATATATTCAAGAATTAATAAATCATGATTTTTAAAAAAAAATAATTTTTTTGCACTTTTCTAAAACTGTGATTTTCTTTGTTCAATCTAATTAAAAAATTAAAAATGATAAAAAATCTAAATATAATTCTAAAAATTAACTACAAGGTTGGAGTAATAAACAGTCCACAAGATGAGAATATAATTTTAAATTTTCGTAAAGGAGATTATACCTCCTGATTCTATATAAAAATAAAAATATAATCCCTAAAATATTGGGTTTCATGAGTGAAAAGGATAAATATAGTTTGAAAAACCAAAAACATATGGAAATTCTATCTTGGGGCAACATTGCAATTTGGCAGAATAATAAGTCATGTGGTATGGGACCGTGCAATCGACCTTTAGGACAAAATTTATGCTTTCTGCTGATTTGAATACACGAATCAACGTGGAGAGCCATACGTCGCTTTCGCTCAATTCTGGTCAATTTGAACTCTCCTTCCCTAATCCAAGACTTCCATGGAAGCAAACGTGCCCCTTGTTTAATTTTGTTCTCTAGCTAAAATGCCAAAATCAATGGATATATTTTTAATTTCATTTTGATTAATCTCTCGGGTCGGCTCAATTTATTTTTTTTTTTTACCAAAGATATTATCATGAACACAAAACACTGTTACGGAGAAGAGCACAAAGCTCAAGAATACAGTCCTCCAACTCAGAACACAGCACAAGCCTTAGAATAAAAAAACAGAAAACACTAGATATGTAAAATATAAACAGCCTTCTGAAGATGCATGAACACAGGAAAGAAAATCCGATCTATGGCTAGTACAAAGTAGCCTTCCAAAGGAAGGAGAGACAAAAGCCAAAACACTAGTGGATCAATTGGAATAAACTTGACTACCGGGTATGCTGGAGCAAGATTCTAAAACCAGCTATTCGTAAGTGGCCAAAGGGCACACTTTAAGGAGTATATAGGACTGGCCATATCTTATGCTTCCAATGAAATAATTATAAAACGTAATCATTCTTTTCAAAAAAAAAAAAATATAAAATCAAAAAAAAAAAAAAAAAAAAAAAAAAAAATATATGAAGCTGAGATATATGGGCATAGAGCATGAGAGTTCATCGTCAATTCAAAATTAAGATAGAGAAACAAACAGTTCCACTTAAATATTGAAAGGAACATAACATGCATTAGTCAAACATAGCAAGCAGCCAGCAGGGCAGTCATGGACAAGTTTAAAAGCAACAGACTTTTCCGTTATGTTCTATTTTTCCGATTTTTAATTTCTAATTTCTAGCAACCGCCTTTTGTGTCTTGTTTTTGGACAACAAAAAAAAAAAAAAAAAAAAAAAAAAAAAAAAAAAAAAAAAAAAAAAAAGTCCTATATATGAAGCTGAGATATATGGCATAGAGCATGAGAGTTCATCGTCAATTCAAAAGTTAAGATAGAGAAACAAACAGTTCCACTAAATATGAAAGGAACAGTACATGCATTAGTCAAACATAGCAGCAGCCAGCAGGCAGTCATGGACAAGTTTAGAACAGACTTTTCCGTTATGTTCTATTTTCGATTTTCTAATTTCTAATTTCTAGCACCGCCTTTTTTGTCTTGTTTTGGACACTTGAGTTATTAATTAACTCGGAGCAACGGCAACCACATAGGACTATTTGCATTGCAATTCCAACACACACAAACATATAACCTTATCAGTTATATATATGTATGTATATATATGTATGTATGTGTGTGTCCGTTTTGTAATATAAAAAAAATTAAAATTTTTATTATTTCTTTTAAATAATTAAATTTTTCATAGAAATCTTTTCCTGATACATTGAATGATCAACATAATGAGTATTTTTCTCATTTCTACCGATATTCCGATCTAGATTTATTGGCGATAATTTCAAGTCTTTACCATTGATTGTTCTATTGTTTAAATTTTCTTCTTTAAATGAAAAAACAGTTAGATTAGAAATATTTTTATAGTATTAATTTTCATGTACTTTTAACCCATGTTTAGAAATTCGAGCAAGTTGAATTTGTATATTTAAAATTATTTTTTAAAAACAAAATTCTTATTAATAGATCGAGAGAAAAAGAACCAAATTCATATTAATAGAACGAAACCAACTCAAATTTAATTTTAATGCATGTATATATGTGTGTGTATATATATATAAGCATATCTTTGCATATTAAATTAATTTAGGAAAATAATAGCCACAAATACAAAGAAAATGAAATATGCTTTGAAATTCCAAGCAAAAGCTTAAAAATGCCGCCTCATTAGGTGGACATTGATCACCAATAACAACACGTTTTAAAAGAAGTCATATTTTTATTGATAAAAATAAAAAAAAAACAAACATATATTTTGGTTAGTCAAGCACGTTTTATTTCTAGTTGGGAGAGTAGAGACATTATTATAAAGCATCTACAATCACAATATAATTTATTAATAAAAAAAATAATAATAATGAGCCATCACCCATATAATAATATTTTTATACTTTTGTAATTTCATTTTCAAGAAATTATATTTATTTAATTTTGTTTGTGAATTGTGAGGTCCATATCCTTATCGGTCAACGAGATCCTTTGAGTAAGTGAGTTGAATTCTAATTCTAGACCCTAAATTAGTAGCTCTTAATTATCAATATCTCAATCCTTTGATACATTTTATACAGTACATAAATTGTATTTATTTTGTGAAAAATAAAATAAAATTGATCGAAGGAAATATTTTTTGAGAAATTTATTTATTTTTAATTGTAATATTGGAAATTATTGTTTCGTGTTTTAGAAAGTATTCATTTATTTTATTTTCCATAAATAAGGTTAAGAAATTTTTTTGAACTTATGATAACTTGATATTTGTTTTTTTCATGATTAAATATGAAAAGTTATCAAAATTTGGGTTTTATGTGAAATTATCAACAAGATGAAAAATTATCAAAAATAAAATAAGCATTTTAATTCAACAAGGAATATTTGAATTCAATTAGAAAAAATATTTAGAAATACTTAATTAAGAATTTTGATATTAAAAAAAATATAGTTCACATTAGAAAATATTGAAACATCTTTAATAAAATAGAAGATTAATATTTGAATTCGATTACAAATCTTAACATTTTATAAAAAAATTGCGAAATTCAGTTAAGATACGATGTCATAAATTTTAGATTAAAAATATCTCAAAATCCAATAATTTTTGTTGTTATTGGTATTTTCATGGACCAATGCTAAAAAAAATAAATAAAAAAGCATGCAGAATGAACAGTTTGATTAATTTGTCTGCTATTAGGTCAAGAGACCTTAGTTATCAAAATTCCCCACAGTAAAATATTTCTTTTATACGAAGAAATAGACTTAGAGGAAGTTCAATGGAAGCTCTAATGGGTTTGCTTGTACAAACTACTTCGTTTGAAAAGTTGTTAGTTAAGTACAGTATGGTAGGTGAACCCTTTTGAACTTTGTGGTGTATATATATACATATAAAGCATAGACTGGCTGTCTCTTGCTTCATTTTAGCTTCAAAGCTTAGCTATTTCATGCTCATATATCCTTTTCTGTTCTAAATGACATCGTCTATGTCATCTTTAAGCAAGAGTATAAGCAGTAGCTCTAGTGAAGATGATGCAGAGCAACTTAGGAGAGGTCCATGGACCCTTGAAGAAGACTCTCTTCTTGTTCATTACATTGCTTGCCATGGCGAGGGTCGATGGAATTTGCTCGCAAAACGTGCTGGTAAGAATTTTATTAATCAACTCGGTATCAATTATAATTAATATCAATTATTTTATTTATTTATTCGTTCTTTGGTCGAGAAGGATTGAGAAGAACAGGCAAGAGCTGTAGACTTAGATGGCTAAACTATCTAAAACCAGATGTCAAGCGAGGAAATCTTACCCCACAGGAACAACTCTTGATTCTTGATCTTCATTCCAGATGGGGTAACAGGTAATTAATTTACTAACTAAATATTCTTGAAAAGCATAGTTATAGTTGTTGTAATCAATTATTTATTTATTGTATTTAGGTGGTCAAAGATTGCACAGCATTTACCAGGAAGAACTGATAATGAAATCAAGAATTACTGGAGAACAAGAGTGCAAAAACAAGCAAGGCATCTCAAGGTAGATGCAAATAGCAGAGCATTTCAAGATATAATTAGATATTTTTGGATGCCAAGATTAATTCAGAAAATTGAAGGATCATCTTCTTCCTCAGTTGCAACCACTGTATCAGAAAACCCAACAATTTCTCAATCTATTAATTGTTCTCCTCATGATTTACTATTGCCAACAGCAGCAGCAGCACCAGCACCACCTCCTTTGCCGCAAGAAATTTCTTGTCAGGGAGGTCTTGACCACAACTCAGACTCTAATTCTTGCATTTCTTCTGCAGAATCAATCAATATGTCCCGAGTAACAGAATACCCAAATGGATATTATGTTGATAGTATTTGCTATAACATTGGACCAATGAGTCTACCAACTATGTCTGACAGTCCAGCCGGCGATCGCCATTTGGCAGAAAGTGATTGGGTTGGATATGATTTTGAAGAAAATACGTGGACCATGGATGAATTTATGGCAATTTAGGAACTTACAAGAAGATTAAGGAAATTTGGGGTCTTTCTTTTGATTTGTTTTAATGATCCAAAAAAAGATATTCAGCGATAAAATATGTGAATTTTTTAGGATTGCTTGTGATAAGCAATTTTTTTTTTAACTTTTGTACCCAAAAATTTGCAGCAACTGTGCATTCAAGCTTTTATATTATATGTAATTAAACTTTCACTTTAGATCACAAAACAGAGTACTATAAAAATAAATTTTGAAAAATCATTGAAGATGTCATTTTTAATTATGTTTCTCTTTCCTTTTCTGTTATTGTTGGAGAAATGGAATGGTAGAGATATTTAGGGACATAAACCATTTAATTATTGAATTTTTTTTATTATTTTTTATTCAAAGAAGAATTTACAAATCGGATTGCTAGATACAAAGAACCCTATTTTTTAAATAACTACAAGAATAAATCTCAAATGTGATTTTTCCAATATTGGTGAATTTTCAAAGCCATTGATGAGGAATTCTGATTTTATTGGAGTTATGATTTTCTTGAAGTAAATCCATCATTACACCTTGGAGAGAAAGAAATCCATTATTAGAATTTCCAACAAAGATGAGCTAATTCCAGGAAACAAAATTTCTCACAACTGTGCTTCTAATTTCTAAACAAGACTTTTAGTTTATTATAATATTTTTCTCTAATTTGAAAAGAATCCACCTACCATAAATCAAATGATGACTTAGTTTGTGATAGATGGTGCATGGGGAATTTTTTTGTCATTTTCTCTTGTTGAAAGCACTTAAAACACTTTGAATCAATTACTTAGGCAACCTAGTCACCAACCCATATTCTACTTTTTCATTGTTTGCAACTAATCACCATTATAGCCATAGCCATGACCATTCTTATGTTGTCAGCATGAGCAAGCTCTTTACCCCATCATTGACTTCATCTTCTAATTTTGGCAACAATGTTAAGGTAGATTTATGTGTTCTAAATTCTATTAAGTTTCAAAATAGTTCAAAATTATTTTTTAACAATACTAAAATGGAGGTTTTTCGGGAAGATCTCAGATTCAATATCATTTAGATTTCGATTTGTCCTTTAGTTTTAAATCATAGAAATATGTTTTTCATATATATTCAAAATTTTTAAAAATTGAGATTGTCGGATGATTCTGATTGCTCCGATCAGACCTATGAAAGAAAAGTGCTAAGACTTGAATTATTTTCAGTAGATAACCACGTTGGTTAATTTTAATACAATCTTTATTCCTATCATAAATATAATATTATAATTTTACTATATTGTTTCCATCAAATGTATATCTCTTTGAAACTATTTGTTATACTTGATTTCCCCATAAATATTAAGATTAAAGAAGAGCTTATTGAATGAATTCAAATGATTTTTTTCTAAAACAAATACCAAGCAGCTCAGGAGTAATTTGAGTCGTTTGAAGCGCTAATTATTATTATTATAGATATAATCTAAATCCCTATCTTGGCAATGCATTTAAGACAAAATATGGTGGCGAAATTTATTTAAACTTTTAAATGGCTACAAAAGCCTATTATATCACATGTTAATTCTTTCAAAATCAAAGGAGGAATAGTGCCGGTTAACTAATATTGACCGAAGATTAAAAACAATTCCCATTTTGGGTACCAACGGTTATGAATTGACAAATTCTGTTCTAATAAATGAATACATTGCAAAATTCCAATTTTGTAGCACATAGTTTCTTTAAGAAATTGGAAAAAAAAAAAAAAAAAAAAAAATTAAATGAATACATTGCAAAAAATTCCAATTTTGTAAGCACCCCATAGTTTCTTTAAGAAAATTGGAAAAAAAAAAAAAAAAAAAAAAAAAAAGAACAGAAAAGATATACAGCTCCGGCAACAGCAATTAAGACTCTTAATTAGAATATTGACTGGTCCAAAAAAAAAAAAAAAAAAAAAAGAAAGAAAAGGATATACAGCTCTGGCAACAGCAATTAAGACTCTAATTAGAATTTGACTGGTCCGGGAACTCATCATCCCTTCCACTAGAAATATAATACTAATAGTAATAATTTATTATTATTATTATTATGCTAAAAAAGAAAATTCTCTAGAAAGAATTTGACCATTCCATTTACTAACTTGGAAAATTTTAAGAATATGTCGATCCATTATAGATTTGCTTTTATTTTATATGTGCTATTCCTGAATTATTTCAAAGGTAAATGGTAATTGGTCCTCGAATAGAATTTGCAAGTATATGGAATTCAAATAATTCATTATTTCATCTATAAACTTTATAAATTTTTTTAGCTAATGATTCCATTTTATATCCTAAAGTTTGTGAGAAATATTAATTTTACTCAATTTAAGAATTCATTTTGATTTTCACGCATTATCAATATGGTATAATTGTATAGTTTAAATTTAATGATATGAGGGAAATATTTGTATTAATTAAAAAAAAGGTAGATTTTGATTTATGAAAATGTTAAGAATCATTTTTTTTCCCATAAAACTAGAATGAAATGTTTGATCGTTACGTTATATATAAAAAGTTAAAGAACTTTTTAATTCATTAAGAGTCCAATGAATTGAAATGAAATATGGGATCGGCTTCTTTTATAATAGAGCCGTAACAGCTGACGTAGAAGTCTTTTGCATTGAAGGAGATGCTGCTGCTATTGGATATTATGGTGAACGACACAACAAAGATAACCATCTTCTTAACTCACTAAAATTAAAAATTTAAGACATGAAAACATGTATATATTATTTGAAGGAAATGAAAATCCAGCATTATGAACCACTGGAAATTATTGGTTATTGGGTGCATTACAGCTTTTGAAGAGCCAAAAGTCTAAAAAAGAAACATGTATCCATCAAATGCATGTTCATCTATACTTATTACGAAGGGTTTATATCATTTGTCATTGTCTTGTCTTCTTGATACGTAGAGAGACTGAACTCTTTCTCTTCCTCTTTGTCTTGGTCTCTCTTTATCTGTCCCCCTACCCATCATATGTTTACACAGTTTCACGTTGCCTCTGCTGGGGGGATGCGTTTCTCGTGTGAAGGGTTGCAGTAAAAAATCTCCGTAGAAAGTCCCTTTAATTCTTAAGATCAACGAGAGAAGGGAAGCTCATTCGTATGTCGTTTTAATGGTGATAAATGTTTGAATAACAAAAAAACTCAAACTCGAAAATTGGTATAAGCATGATTAAATTTTAAAAATATATATTCTGATTTCCTTGAAAAAAAAAAGAAAATATAAAATAATCTGATTTGCGTATTTGAATATAATCAAAGAATTGATTAGTGCATTTTAAATGCTTTAGAATTTGATTATTCCTACTGTTTCTGTGTGGAGTGCGAATAGGGCAAATGACCCGTATATTTTGTACTCCGACCCACTCTCATCTCATTTGAGGGAGAAGTGTTTGGATTGACTTGATTGCAGTTACACGTGGAATTATTTTTTCTAAATCTTGACTTGGATGTGATTCACATTACCATTTACTAATTTATTCACCATCCGTCTTAAAATATAATTGATTTTTTGTGATAATTTTATCTCAAAATATAAATTTAAATTATTTTGAGTATTTTAAAGAGTAATAAATGATGTTTTTTCAATGCTACCCTTGTTTAGATTAGTTATAATAAATACTTTCACAAATAACTACTATCTCCATTTTGTTTGAATGGTTTGACAAAACACGCATATATTAAGAATTTAGTTAACAAAAATTATTTTAGGACAAATGAAAAACAAACAAATAAAATGGGACGGATGGAGTATTAGTTTTGAGATAAAAGATAATCTGTCAAATTAGTCTTGAGTTTGTTATAATAAAAAAGAATTAATTGTTTTCTTAATCTTGTACAACAACCTTAAATGATTTATATTTTAGGATAAATGAAGTAATAAATATATGGAAAAAACTTATCTAAATTCAACATATGTTCCGCCGTCTATGGACCAAATCAATATAAATATATTTTCTTTTTTAGAGTAAAAATCATGAATAGATGTTATATAGAACTTGTTTTATGGTAATATCATATATTTAAGTTATGAGAATTTTCAATAATAAAAGTAATTTTAAAAAAATAAAAAGTTTCGATAATATCTAAAAAAAGATTTTTTAAAAGATTTTTTTTTTTTTTGAGATGATAGTTTAAAGAAATTTCAATCTCAATGCTAATGTGATATTTCTCATAGTCCATTGTAAAATTTCTTTACATGTAACTGAACATAAAATCATTTATGCTCGCACGTTTTGCTTTGTTTTTTTATTTTTTATTTTTTGAGTCATCGCGTTTTGCTATTCATTGATATTTATAATATCATTTTTTTAAAAGAAATTTATAGTATTAAATTTTTATTAGCTTAAATTATATAAAATATAATTTTATTAAAATTAAAGAAAGTATCTTAAAATATAAATAATAATTTAAAAATTAAATGAATTATTATTATTTTAATGTTAATTTTTTTCAATTATTTAAATTAGTTGCATTTTTCATAACATATTTATCAATTACATAATTAGAAATGAAACTAAATTAAATTAGATTAAATAATTTTACTTATTTCTATCATAGATAAATATTATTTAGTACTGAAAGAGAAATATATTTTTTTTTTTTTTTGTAAAATAAGTAGGTATTAATTCTTTTCATAACATAGAATGTAAACTTAGGCTCCATTTGGTTCAAAATGATCTATTTTAGGGGAAGTATACTTCTTGAAAAGTACATTTTCAAGAAAATTATTTCTCAGAAAATATAATTTAAATGTATTTGGTGTGCAAATTAATTTCATGGAAAATAAATTGTTTTCGAATTAGAAAAACCAATTACGTCTTTAATATAGAGTAATTTTAGGTTTATTTACATAATAGCATAAATTGATAAATTCATGCACTTGAATAGCCAACTTCCCTAGCCATTCCCAGAGAAGTTACTTTGCTTCTGTAAAGGAAGTGAATGATCTATTTTGCGAGAAAAGTAGAATTAATAATACGAACTAAACATAAATATTTTACGTATTTTTTAGGAAATTATACTTTCTTACGTCTATTTACTTTATACGAAATATCACCTAGTAAGTCTATTACCCATAAATTAAATTTGTATTTTTTTAGTACTGGAAGTCACTTACTACACATTAAAAAGTTGGCGAATGGTGATAATTTTTTTCTTCATTTATTTGTTAAGATGGTGTCAAATTTAGAAGATATAAAGCCTTAATACAATTTTTAATATTTTTATGTTCTGTTAATTAAATCATGATTCATTATTTGAAATAGTGACCCATCTACCCAATTTTCAATTAGTTTTTTAATCCTTTAGATTAGGCAACTTAAATTGTAATACAATGAATCTCTTTCTCTCCACTCTTTCCATATTCTTTATATCCTTTATATTTTCTGTTTTTTTATAACATATTCAATGTAAAAGTTGAACATTTCTATTGTGAACAAATACTTCAAAATGAAAGGAAAGTTTTTTTTTAAAAAAAAAAAAAATTCAATCACATGTGTTAACGTGGTAATCTTGAATAAAATATAATGAAAAAAATAATTGAAAAAAAAAAACTAGAAAAACTTGAGTAAAATTAATATAATATAAAAGAAATTAGTAGAGAATAATACAAGTTTTCTAAAATATAAATTTGCCTTAAAAAATAGAGAGTAACAATTATCAATACTTATTTATGGAGATTTAAAATACAAAAATACTCTCAACAATGAGACTTATTGTAAAATTACCATAAAGTGATATTTATATTTTGGACACCTCTATTTCGAAAGATAAATATATTGGCACCTTAAATTTAAACTGAGACCATAGAGACAAAAGTCACCGTTTTGATACAATTTCTCGTGCACCTAAGAAATTGAATTTAACCCATTGAAGGACTATTCTAAAATTCCAAATCGTGTCTGTTTTCAAAATAAAAAAAAAAAAAAACCTTGCAAACGTTTATCTCATCAAAATGGAATCAAATGTTTTTAAAGCTTGCTTTCAATGAGATAATGAGGGGAGCATTCACTTGTGTTCAACTGAATTAATGCAACACCAATTTAGGTATGCAAATCTAGTTTCTGATGCTCAAAATCTAAAACTTTCAACCTCTTTCTAGGTAAGAAAGAGCTGTTAAATTATTGAACAAGTGATGAGGAAGAAACCACGGTATGATGACGAACTCTCCTTGGAAAGTAAAATAACTCATTTGATCTCCTTTATTAGAATTGGAAACTTATGCACAGATGAGAACCACTGATAGAAAAAAAAAAAAAAAAAAAAAAAACACGGTATGATGACCGAACTCTCCTTGGATAGTAAAATACACTCGATTTGATTCCCGTTTATACGAATTGGAAACCCTCTATGCTACCAGATGAAGAAACACACAATGATTAAGATTAAAAAAAATAAAAAAAAAAAAGATAGAATTACAAAGCTAAAGAAAAACCGCTTGAGTAACTAATTTTAGTCCAATCTTGCCATTGACAGATACACGAGAAAAAAAAAAAAAAAAAAAAAAAAAGATAGATTACCAGCAAGCCGCTTGATACTATTTTAGTCCAATTTGCCATTGACAGAACAGAGTCTTGCCTCCTTGAGTTAAATGGGTTAAATAGATGAGAACCACTGACAGAACAAAATTAAATGGGTGAGTTTTGCCTCCTTGAGTTAATTAACCCAAAGTTAAGCAATGGGTCGCGCCATAATATTATTTTAGTCCAATTTGTGGTCCTAATTTAAATTTAGAGTGCTAGTATATCTAAGTTTCAAAATGGAAATGCTCAGAATATAAAAGATATTTTGGAGTGTTTTTGTGACAAATCATATAATTCACAGTATTTTTATAGTTTAAGCCATTAATGGATACCTTTAAACTTTTCCAAGAGTTTCTAAAAATAAATTCAAATAAATTTTTAACATATATCTAATTCATATTTCCCAAAGAAACCCATCTCTAATGTAAAATAAAATATAAAAATAAGGGGATTGGGCTTCGATCTTTCTTTGCAAAATCTGACTCCCAAAGTAGAAATGGGCTTTTGTTCTTTTTATAAACTACAACTAATGAGCCTAATACCACTCTTCCTCTTTTTGATCGTGACCGTCCAAGCAGAAACACCAAGCGATCCTGATCCTTCATTCTGTAGTTTTAAGCCATCTTAATCTCCAAACCCTAGGGTTTTTCTCTGATCCGCAAAGCTTCTCCCTCTCCCACTCGTACACACCGTTTAGTTCGATATTTGCTTCTCCTTCAGGTATGCCATTCACTTTGTCACTCATAACCATTGTTTGGTTGCCGAGAAAAGAAAAGGGGCTCATTTTCTTTGTATGAATTCTTGCTTCTCCTCTCCAGTTTTCTCAGTAACCAAACGGGGTTGTCTCAGTGCATCTTTTCAATTTTTTTGCTGAAAAACAAGTAGTTGGCTTTATTACTGGTTAAGATTCCTATTCCGTTGTTTTTAGAAGTTGATTATTATTTAATTGTTAATTTGCTATTTAAATTAATGAGAAATTACAGTTATTTTTCGTACTTATAAAGTTATAATCAACCATATTTTGTAAAAACGGGACTATAATACTTTTTGCAGTTTTGCTTCACTTGTTGCATTTGATTCTTTTGGCTTATATCACATTGCCCTTTACTGTAAAGAGGAAAATAAATGTGTTGATGATTCCTGTTATTCAAATTTTTGGTTATTGTGAAATGCAATGCTGGAAATCAATTTGCATCTTCGAGTGCCTAATGTGCAAATTATCAGTCTTTCGACTTTACTAGATGCTATGCACTTTATGTTCAGTACTCAGCATTTATGATATGTTTCTGTTCCTTGGGCAGTAAGTTTCAAGAAGCATTTATACTGCTAAATTTGAAGTGTAATTTAAAACTCTCTCCCTTTCGTTAAATTTGACACTTTTGACACTTTTAGAAATCAAGATAAAATTAATTACTTTATTCTAACTTTACATTCTCTGGTTATATCTGCCAAACTTTATTTCTCTTAATTAGAAAGAATTCATAAAGGATAATTTAGTTAATTATCTTTTTTTTCTAGAGTTGAGGTGTTTCAATCATTTTCTTAATTCTTATGAAAAGTGAAAAGTGTCAAATATACTAAACGGAGGTAGTACAGTACACTGTAGAATTTGGAATTTTGTGATTGCAAATGTTTTATTTTGCCTTTTCATTTGAAATATAACAAGTATAGCATGGTTAAGATGCATATAAAATGAGCTGTTCCAGTTTTATCTTCAGTGATAAATGGAGTCTTGTTGGCTTATTTTGCTCCTTTTCCCTTCTTTTCTCAGTTCTGTTCTATTTGTGCCAGTTTTGTGAAGATGTATACTACTAAGCAGAAGATTCATAAAGACAAGGATGCTGAACCCACTGAATTTGAGGAGTCAGTTGCACAGGTTTGAAGATTCTTTTGTTGTTATTGGATTTGTTAATTGAAGCAAACTGGACTTGTTTTTTTGACAATGCTTACTTCTACTGTCGATGTAGGCTCTCTTTGATTTGGAAAATACCAATCCGGAGCTGAAAAGTGACATGAAGGATCTTTACATTAATTCAGCAGTGTAAGAATGATCGAATTGAGGCATTCAGTATGGTTGATTGGTCTTGCTTCTTATATAATTCATAAATCTTGCAGTCAAATTGATGTTGCTGGGAGTCGGAAGGCTGTTGTTATCCATATTCCATTCAGATTGAGGAAAGCTTACAGAAAGATTCATGTTAGACTCGTGCGAGAACTTGAGAAGAAGTTCAGTGGCAAGGTAATTCCAAACATATGTTCTGTTCTTGTTTAATTTTATTGTGATGCTAAAAAAGAAATAAGCAATTGGTATTATTTTTTTATAGGGGAATATATTAGTATTTTTATAGGGGAATAATATATATATAGTTAAATAGAATGAATACGATATATCTATATAATTTATATAATAATATAATATATATATTATAATATATTACACAGCACACATTTTTTGTTGTTTCTCTCTATATATCTTATTATTTATTAGTAACTTTGAATGGTGTGATGAAAAATTAATTAATACTTACTTTAAATTTTAAAGAATGGGGAATGAATTCTAAATATGATATATTTACACACACACATGGAATCTTGTTTGTAGTCCATCACTAAATTTTAGGTTTAGTACCTTCTTGAATGGTGTGATGAAAATTAATTAAATTACATTAATTTAAAATTGAATGATTCTATAATGGTTAATAAGTTGAAGGTGTACTGATCTTTATGATTGTCAAATGTTTCAAGCGTCTCATCTTTATAATCTTGCCATTGCTATTGTTTATTAGGATGTAATCCTGATTGCCACCCGGAGGATTTTAAGGCCTCCAAAGAAAGGTTCAGCTGTTCAAAGGCCTCGCAGCCGCACACTCACTGCTGTGCATGAGGCAATGCTGGAGGATATTGTATTACCTGCTGAAATTGTTGGCAAGCGCATCAGATATCGAATTGATGGATCCAAGATAATGAAGGTAATTCTATGCACATGCGTAAACACTTTCTGATTTAGTCCCAGGCTTAGATGCATCAATTCCCAACTATCTTTTCAGGTTGTCAGTGAATATATTTGGTTGATTAACTTGTTCATTGTTAACCTTTTCTGTCAAAAAATTACTTTCTGGAAACTATTAATAGCATCCCATCCTCATAATGAACTTTGTTGACTCGTGGAAGACCGATTATGTAATTAATGCTTTTTATGCCAATTTTACATTTTGTGCACAGGTTTTCTTGGACCCAAAGGAGCGAAACAACACGGAATATAAGTTGGAGACCTTTTCTGCAGTTTACAGGAAGCTTTCAGGCAAAGATGTTGTGTTTGAGTTTCCAGTAACCGAGGCATAAAAGTACTGAGAGCTATAACATCTTTTTTTGAATGTTTTTCGTCTGAATTACTTGTAGTGCGCTCTTTAAATTTTGACAATGATGAGTTTATTTAGCAATCAGAAAATGTTTGTTATGGATTCATCTTCTTTGTTGTGATCAATGCTGAGTTCTAGAACTTTACAGATATCAGCTAAGTTCATATTATTACATCCTTACATATTCTTTATACCTTCTTTACACTAATGCTGAATTTAAATTGATCTCCCTTGAAACTGTGTCCACTATGAAGGTAATGTCTACATTTTTATGAATTTCTGATTTTTAGATGAAAAATACACAAGCCGGTGGATGCTTTGATAATTAAATGATAGTCTTTGATAATTAATTAAAGAAACCATTTGTGGTTCATAGTTACAGAAGTTAAACTCTCAAGTAATTCCCTAAAACATTCACTATCAAATTTTATACTGCAAGGCCTAACCGTTTTATTATTTATTTATTTCATGAAGAAGATCAGCTTGGATCCAAATTCAATGAAATTAATTAGCAAATATGGGGAGAAGGGGGGAAGAAAAACAAATAGAACAATGTAAAAGCAATGAATTATAGCCAAAGCTTAAAACTGAACCAATTTCAGCCGCTAAAGGTTCAAAATTTTAAAGTGGACACTTTATCAAAGCATCTCCTGTACAAAATGAGATGGCATTGATAAGAACATGGAGTTGCTATCTAATAAGTTGATGTCTAGGCCTCCAAGTGATGAAACAATTTGAACCTGAATTCTCTGTCATGCTACTTAGCAATGTACCTCAAGACAATATCACAAGACCAAGGTACATTGCTCCACAGAGAAGCAATAAAGATATAAACCCCCTGCAAGTATAGTTTTCTTCATTAATAAAGTTGAACAACTAAAAATGAAATCTAAGTTTTTATTAGTTTATTCAAAAGGGAAGAAAAACTTTGGATAGAAACTAGAAACCAAGCATTTCAATTTGACTTGGTGAATATAAGATGCTCACCAAATCATGCCCCACCCCATGCCATTACATGGACAAGGGCAGACTTCTGCAAATTTCTCAGCATCACTAGAATGAACTCTACGAGATATCAGATCATCATAAATATCTGCACAATCAAAGAGATGTAGTTGAGCTCTATAATTCAATAAAAACAAACAACTTAATGATAAAATTTGAAAGGTTGTTCTACATACCATAAACAGAAAACAAGCTGTTCATTACACCTGCAGTGCACACATCACAGCATTCAATAGTTTTAAAGAAAAGAGTGTGAATTACAGGAGGCATAATGAAAGCAAAGATGCAGAGCTACATTTACCAATGAATAGAATAATATACCGAAGGATACGGATTTTTGTTGTTTCTTGCAGGACCCAAATCACCCCAAGGAAAAGAACAAACCCTGATGGCTCAACATGTAAAAATATCATTGAAGTTGTACACTGAATATTGAAGCTTGTACATAGCATAGGCAGCTAGATTTATCGAGGTTACAGAAATACGTACCAATACAAAGTCCTCGAAGAGTCCACTGTGTGTGAATAATAGAAAAATAATTATTTCAGTTATTTAATAGATATAATATTATGTGACTGACTTGATCTTAGAAATGCATTAAAATTGAAAGGCGTCCATGAAATAAATTATTAAGAATCATTTTACTATATTCATTTATTTATTTTCTGCCATTTCATGTGATTTATTTCCAGAATTTGGTGTCTAAATAACTTCGTTCAATTGCCATAAATATAAAATCTGCTATGAATTTTCACCTTAAGAATTTGAAATACACGTATCCACAAATGTTATGTTTACTTACTACAACTCTATAATTAGGACATACTCTAGATGCTTGAAACTACTTACATTTTTTGCTACCAACAACACAACAAGCAGAGCAACAACAAAACATCCTGCTGCAATTCTTGCTGTAAGAAGATTTGTGGATGCAAGTATCAAAACCATCCCCCAAAAGGATGAACCAAGATCTAGAGTGGAAAGACGTGAAAATAAAATTGAATTATTACGAAGAACGATCATTTATTCATGTGGAAACAACTAAATTAGAACTACAGATTCTGAACCCCATATGTGAAATTGCTCATCCAGAGAGAAGCTATATATGTAGTTAAGCCAAGAATTTCTCAGAAGAATAAAGAAAGGTAGTCAACGGAAAAAGAAGTTACATCCAGCTGGCAAGATAAACCAGTATACACCACCACGTGTTTGAGTAGTTCCTCCTTCATCTGCATGAACCTGAATCCCTTCCACCTGCAATATAGACTCATCCAAACAGTTATTAATTTAAATTATAAGCATTTCAAAGTTGGATAATCACATAATCACTTCACATTTTGATATTCAACTTTGGCCAAATGTATGTTTGATTGTCTTTGCTGCAAGAGAGTGCTGTGGAATGAAGAATTTGCAGGTTTCAGAATAAATTGATGCTTTTTTTTTTTTTGAGAATTAAATTCATGTGTTTAATTGAAAAGAAAAAAAAGACAATGGAAACTATTTCTTAATTGTTTAATTCAAAAGAAAGAAGAGAAAAAGAAATGAGAGAGAGCAGCTGCTTACATGTCCACAAGTTAATTTACAGGCAATGGCATGGCTTGCTTCATGAAGGAACACGGTCACAAGCTTGAATGGTGTCAGCAGTACTGTTCTCCATAACTATAAAGATAAAAAGATAACTTTTTTCGAGTATTAACTGTAGCATAATCGGTCAACCAATACTAAAAAGCATTTGTAACTCTTCATATTAACTGTAGCATGAAGTTCTATGTCTGGTCTATTAAGTATTTGCAATTTTTCATATTATCATTAATGAGTTATATTTTCAAAAAAAAAAAAAAAAATGAAAAGATTTGTAACTCTTCAATCATTAACTGTAGCTATTGAAGTTCTATGTCTGTGTCTATTGAAATGTGATTTTGCAAAATTTCTCTTATTATGTTAAATTTCGAGTTATATTTCAAAAAAAAAAAAAAAATTTATATTTTAAAAAAAAAAAAAAAAAATGTAGCATAATCAGTCAACAGATGTAACAGAATTTATGGCATTTCACTTTTAATTGGAAGAAATCATAAATATCAATTAATGAATCAAGCCACTAAAAGAATTACTTAAATTTGAGGATTGATACTCCGGTTCCAAGACTTAGACTTCCATACAATCTTCAGTGATATAATTCCAAATCTGTAATGGGATTCACAAATACTAAAATGCATTCATGAAAACCCATTTGGATTTTAGTGAACACATAGAAATCAAACACATCTTACATAATTGGACCCAAAGTAGGAGAAAATTATAGCAAAGGTTTCGGATAAATAGACCAGTTTATTCTGGAAAGACAATCATACCCAGATCAAACAAAAATTCCAACTTTTCTTGACCATAACCATGAAAAGGAAGAAAAAGAAAACTAACAGCATTAATGGGTTTCACTGCCTCATCAAAAATAATAATAACAACAGTAATGCAGCTTCTATGAAATCACAAAAGTGATAGGGAGTGAGAAAAATACCGCAAGAATGACAACAGTGCAGACAGAGACAGTGACGAGAAACACTACTTGTTCATGGTTGCAGCAATTCTTCAGCTCCCAATTTGGCCTCATCTCTCTCTCGAGCTTTTTGTTTTTGAGTTCTGTTATCTTTTCCCACAAAATCCAAGAGTCTTACTTGATCTCTTCTTGGTGGTTGAATATATATATATATATATATATATGGAGAAATAATAGGATGAAGAGAAGAGAGAGATGAGAGAGTTGAGATAGATCCCTCTGTCCTCCTTCTCCAAGTATATATATATATATATATATATATGGAGAGAGAGAGAGAGAGAGAGAGAGAGTGAGAGATCCTCTCTTGTCCTCCTTCTCAAGGTTGGTCACCTGTAAGTGTACTGACTGAAACTTGAGGGGAGCACCTCCTGCAGTTAGTGTTTCTTTCTGTCTGTTAGTGTTTTTTTATTATGTTTTCTTTAACCGTTTTGACGTGAGAATTAGTTGAAAAAATTAGACTAACACTGACAGACAAAAATTAGACTAACACTAACAATAATTGGCTTATGAGTAATAAAAATTGTCTATCAATTTAAGGAAGGTTATTAATAAACAGATTAGATTTCAAATATTTGAATTTCATAGATCATTTCAACATTTATTTTATTGAGAAAGAGGAAAGAAAAGGGAATTTCAGTAATTTGTACATGCATGTATTTATACAACATGATTTACGTACGAAAGATAACTGGATAAGAATGACATTGTTTACTTCTGTTTTCATTGTATAAAAGGAAGATAAAAGATTGAAGATATAAAACATTTGAAATTCAAATTTTACATCTCTCTTTTCTATTAAATTTATTAATTTTAAGTGAGTACAAAAGTCACATTTTTATTATTAAATTTGGATAAAAATGACATTTAAGATATGATGATCCCGGATCATGTGAGCCAACCACCGTTAGCCGTTACCGTTTTCCAAATGAAACTATGAAAGTTACGTCTTCCTTGTCTAAAAACCAGTGGTATATGATTACAGATGGCACAAAATAATAGGCATGTTCATAAAACTGACAGAATTAATTAATGGGACCTACAGAGAGTATATTTACCTCCATTATACGGCTTATTTGCGCTTTTTGCATTTGCCATACAAACAAAATACGTAATTTCCGTTGGTATAAACAGATCGGCTGCTGCTTCAGCACAAAGTCAAGCCGTGAAATAACGGCTATTGTCTGTTAGGCTAAAGCCGGCAGAGAACGCTCCTTGTCTCGAAAATACCGCGTGCCACGTACCCCCCAGAGTCCAAGACAACATTATCATTTTTGTCTCCACGTAATCGTTTGGGCGGCGCTCTCAGTCAAAATCCTCTCTGACTGGCCTACCCTTTTCTCTTACTTCTTTGCAACTTCATCTATAAAACGCGCTGCCCCTATTCCCGTCTCAACCCACCGCGTTGGGTAACCAAAACCGGCACTCATTATTTTCTTCTCCGCTTCACCTAAACGACAACCAAAGATTCGAAATGGCTCCCAAAGAGAAGAGCATCGCCGCCTCCACTGGCCTCAAGAAAGGTACCATTACCAACAATAACGATAAGAAGGAAATGCATTACAGAGGAGTTAGAAAGAGGCCTTGGGGTCGTTACGCCGCCGAGATACGGGATCCGGGGAAGAAGAGCCGGGTCTGGTTAGGCACTTTTGATACGGCTGAGGAAGCTGCTACAGCTTATGACAAGGCGGCGCGTGAATTCCGTGGCCCTAAGGCCAAGACTAACTTTCCTCTTCCCACCGAAATCACTCCGATTAAAACCAAGGTCGCTAACTGCACTGATGACCCAAGTCCTAGCCAGAGCAGCACGGTTGAATCCTCCAGTCCGCCGGCTGCGCGTGAGATCACACACGACCTTGTGGAAAGGTTTCCGTTTGTTTATCAGCAGCAGAACGTGGTGGGTCCGGTTTGGTTTTTTGATGGCAGTATAAGACCTGAGTTTATGACTCGGCAATTTCCTGTCCGGTTTGAGCCAGTGGGGCTCGCGTTTAATGGTGGGTTAGTGAGTGGTGGAAGTCAGAGTGACTCAGACTCGTCATCCGTCGTTGATGGCAAACCAGCAAGAGACTTCGATCTTAATCTTCTTCCATCGGAGGAGGAAGATGCTTAAACTTTTTCTCTTTATACTTAATTGTTTAGGCAAATAACTAATTTCGTAAGGACTAATTAAGTAATTGTTTATCTTCCACAGAAGTAGGGAGAGGTTAAAAATGGTAATAATCTCGTTTAGTAGATTATTACCGTTGGATGTAAATGATTTAGGATTAAGTTTTTTGCAACTAAAAAGAGGAATTTAATCTTAATTTCTCCGGAGTTTTTCTCTTGTTGTAACCTTGCAATATTCGACAGAATTTTCATTTAATTTTTTTTTCTATAATGAAATAGAAATTGCTAATGTTTATTCCTCCTTATATATTTCTCTATAGCTGCATAATTTGTAGTGTTTGTTTTAAATTATTCTTGCATAAAATTATTATATTTGAAGAAAATCACGTTTTCAAGTGAATTTTATGTGAGTTTTTTTTTTTTAATTAAAGTTATATAGATCGAATTGGTTGAATCAGTATGTATTGATATTTTAATTTTAAAATATTAAAATGTTAAACTACAATAACAAAACTAACATTTATTCAAATTTGAAAAGTTCAGCAATTTTTTGGAATTGCCGGAATGGATAGTCTTCTTTTTAATGATAATTAATTATATCTCTAAATAAATATTTCTTATAAGGTTAAGATTTTAATTGAACACACCATGCATTGACACGTATGTAAATTATAAATTTTGGTTTGCATTCGATAACAATTCCGTGTTGAAAAGAAATGTATGCATTCTGTCCCAAAGTTTTCAAACAACATAAATTGATAGTCAGTGAAATTCAAATGCTCAACATACGTATAGAAGAAAACCTTAGGAATTGTGAAAAATAGAGAGAATGAATTTCATAAAATAGTGAAATAATATATTTATAATTTGTGTTTATCTAGAGATGTAATATTATCGCGGTGTTCGGTGACAGCTTTTTAAATAGTTTTTATCAATATGCTAAATACTATTTTTATATAATATTAGGTAACATAACTTTTAAATTATCTTATAAGAATTAAAGTAGTGTTTTATTAAAAATTAATCTATATTATGTTTAGTTTTTAGCGTTTTATACAAAACTATTCAAACAGCTAGCTAACTAATTTTGTCAAACATAAAATTAATTTTTTTTATTATAAAATATTACTTTAAACTCTAAAATTAATTCAAACTTTAATATTATCAAATATTATAAAAAATAATATTTTACGATTTTGCATCTATTTACAAAGCTGTTGTACATTCAGACTGATATATTAAATTAATTAAATACAAATTTTTAGTTGTAACGGTTATATTTTTTACCATTTATTAGAAAAGATAAAATAATAATAACAATTTAAAAAATATTTCATGAATTGATTTTGTACCATGCACGCACCAGGTCTAGGTTAAGCGCGTACACGAAGCAGAGAGGCACCGACCAGTGCGAGAGTGAGAAGTGGGGCCACACAGGAATTCCCGCGTTGAGAGGAGGGAAGGGAACAGGTTGCTACAACAGCATGCCGGCACGTGTACTTCTGCCGTCCAGATCAATTTTTTATCCTTTTTTATTTTTTAATTAATTAATTACAAAAATATAATCCTGAAATGCAGGTTCCTGGTAGTGTGAAGGAAACGTAAACGAGACAAATCCTGAATGGGACCCACACATTTGGAGAGAGAAGAGGGCCGCCCCCTCTTCCGCTACCGCTTTCGGTGGGGCCACCTTCTTATTAATCGTGTCGGCGGGATATGCGGAGACGTGTACTGGGATTTCGGCTCGGCTTCATCCCTTGTATCGGCCTCCAGCTCCCTTGGTTCAAATCTAAGCTTTCAGAAAAATTATCTTTTTCAGTAGTATGATTTTTAATGTATTTTGATTAATGTTTAATTTCAGGAAGGTAAATTGTGTTAAATGACATAAATATCCTTATTTTAAAAATAGAAGAAGTCATGTATTATTTCATAAAATAGTAGTAAATAATTATTATTTATATATAAAAAATATTTGAAATCAATCAATTTGAAATTAATCAAAACCATATTAGTCAATTTTTTTATGTCCATAAGTATACTAAATTATTTCTATTAGATGAAAATTTTCTAGTTTGGTATTCGTGACGATTGCTGGTTCAGAGTTCACGGCTTCCCTCCAGATAATTAGTTGAAGGTTTTTCTCGATAATTAGTTCAAGATTTTTCTCTCTATAAGTGATTTAATACAGATCCAACTATGGTGATCTTTATCCTTTCAACTTGGATTTCAAAGATAATTGAGAAGCTTGACTAAGTCCAACAAATCAGAAAATTGGCTAGACAAACTAAGCCGTTAGATTAGTATAAAATCTTGACCTCTCTTTCCCTTCAAAGAAAGAATGTCTAATGTAATAAAAATAAATAAGTAGCCAAAATACATCTAGCGAAAATTTCAGTCCTCAATCTATCCCGGGGAATAGAAAAAGAAAAAAGAAAGGAAAAGAAAGATGTTGGAAAAGAAATTTCAGTCCTCAATGCCCAACTATTTTCAAGCTCTGATGTTGGAAAAGAAAGGAAAGGAAAGATGGCAGAGGGTCAGCCGGTCCATTTGTAGAATAACTTAAGAATTCCTGAGGCAGAATAATAAAAAAATAGCATATAAAAAGGAAAATCATGCACGGAAATATCTTAAGAATTACCAGGCAAATATAATCCAAAATCTTGAAATCACTGTTTGGCAAAATGCACAACAAATGGCCCTCTTCGCTAACACAGCATAACCTTTACATGGCAAGACAAAGAAGAACGAATGCATTCTACATATATACAGACACACTTAAATATTACAAAGAATAAATGATTTACATAGGATTAATAAAAACTACAATAATAGTCATCTACCCTCATCCATAGAAGAGACAGACATGGAATTTCTAGAATAGTCCTCAACAAAACTACTGCCTCCAGAAACTTTAGCAATGACACCAATGCTCATACTGCTACCAACAGTATTGGTGTTAGTGTTAGTGTTGGTGTTGGTGTTAGTGTTAGTGAAAGCAGAAGTTCCAGTAGTTGTAAAATGTCCTCGTCGACCATGAGTTCCAGGTTTACCAGGTCTAGGCAAAGTAAATGAGTCGCTTAAAAGCATGAGATGAACCGTATTCATATCAGGCCTATCTGCAACTGTTTGTTGACAACATAACAACCCTAGTTGAATGCACATTGCTGCCTCGTCATGATTGCACTTAGTAAGTGTTGGGTCAACTAAATTCAATGTCCTTCCTTGTTGATGGAGCATCCATGTCTGCTTAAAAAGCAAGGAAAGTCAATGAGGATTAAATCAATTGACCTATCGCATACTTAAATGAAGAAAGAAAAAAAAATAATAGAAACATTATTATCCTCATTTTTTTAAGCATTGGGATCATGTGCTTTTCAATAAAATTCTGATTTTAGTTGTAAGGCAGGATAGCATCATCTGCAATAATATACTTTTTTATGATATGGCGGTTTGGGAAAGATAAACATTGCAGATCTTAAATATCAAAGTTTTACAGATGCATGTACGAGGCAATGTTAAGCAACATTTAGGGGCTATAAACAAAATGAGAAATTAAAGCTATAATTGACAGAATCCTCACTTATTCTATCACTTTGTATAATATATCCAAGGTATCTGAAATAAGTGCTTTTTTTGGAACCTCTATGCCATCTAGACTGACATCAACTTAAAGCTTAGTTACATTTTAAGTCTAACCTTCATAGGACTTCAGAAAGAATGACATTACAAAATTGTTCTTGAACTAGTAAACTGATTAACCACATAACTAGGCAATTGATTTTTATTGGTTCAGTTTTGGGCTGTAAAATTAGAAACCTGAAAAATTCAAAGCAAGGCTAGGTTGGTTGCCCAAGCCATTAGCATCTCAACAAAAGATACGATTGCAACTCTGAATGTATTTAATTTATATAGCTTCACCCAAAAAGCTAAAAATAACTTACATAGGTCAAAATGTCTGCCTTTTCACCACCAAGTTGACTGTCATAATTTTTTCTTCCACTCACAATCTCCAGTATCAAAACTCCATAGCTAAAAACATCACTCTTCACAGATAAATATCCATGCATTGCATATTCAGGCGCCATGTAACCACTGTATCCAGTAAAATTTTTTTAGCAAGAAAATTGCCCCAACAAATATGCAGACTAATATTGCTTAAAACAACAAAAAAGCGATGAATTTACTTACTGAGTACCGGAAATCCTGAATGTATCCAAATGGGTGTCTTCACCAGGAAAGAGTCTTGCCAGGCCAAAATCTGATATCTTTGGATTCAAATGTTCATCCAACAAAATATTACTGGCTTTGATGTCTCTGTGAATGATCCTTTCAGGAGCTTCTTCATGCAAGTAGAGAAGAGCTCTTGCTACTCCTGTAACTATTCTAAATCGAGTTGTCCAATCAAGGGATGCAGATTTCTGTTTATCTGAAACACTTAAGTCTTCAACTGTTACCTCAATAGTACCAAAAACCAAGCTGGTTTCCCACTAAAATTGCAACTATCTTATTTAAGAAATTACAAGTAAGAAGGAGCTTGTTACCAAATAGGAAGTAATCAAGGCTTTTGTTTGGCAGATATTCATAAACAAGCATCTTCTCAGGTCCTTCCACACAACATCCCAACAAAGTAACCAAGTTCTTGTGCTGAATTTTCAATAACACTTTTACCTCATTAGTGAATTCTCTAAGTCCCTGTCTTGATGTTAGTGAAAGCTTCTTCACAGCAACTTCTTGACCATTTGGTATCAATCCCTGTAAACAGGAAGCAAACATTCAATTATCATTTGTGGTAGAAACACCAGAGGCACATCCATCTACCAAAGGCCTACAGACAAAGGATTTATGACTTTATGCACAATGTTACTTATATCATGGCAAACACATTGGTTTATTGTATTAAGATATGAATATATTTAGTCAACAAGAAAACCACCAGAGAGATTTGAAAAGATAAAAAGAGAGATGCTCAGGCATTTGTTTAAAACACAGAATAACTGGAAATTTTTTATGTCCTTTACGTACACCCTTAGCTTGTCAGACCTGGTTTCTTTAAATATTTCCCCATTTTTGCAAATGAAATTTAGCACGACTTTAAATGCCCTGTCCTCCTAATCTCTTTATTCTTTTCAATGTAGAGAATATTCTAACAAGTAAAAAGTAAATTGCCATTACAATATTTTCTTTTTCAAAAAGGTACAAGGAAATAAATCTGGCCATAGAGGCTGTGAAATTCCAAATACACTTCTTCATGAAGAAACTATAACATTCCAAGCCATTCATATATTTTTACCATCAATATGATTGATCTCATTCATCATATGATAAAAGCTACACATGTTGTCATGTTTCGAACATATCACGTCATTTGTCTCAACTTAAAGAGTGTTTCATATTTGTGTTAGACTCCACTATACATACTGTAACTGATATGCCTTCAACAAACAATTCAGTTATTCACCAAGATCAACTCCACATAAGCAACACCAGTTTATTGAATAAGAAACAATTTTCATTTGAAGAAACAGCAGTCCAAGAAGGCCATAAAAACCATTAAACCCATAGTTATGAAACCAAGGACCATTGCCATTGCACTAGACAATAACCACACCCAGATGGGAACCATGAGCTTAATTAGGAACTACAAGTTCAAGGATTTCAGATTTAGGTGGTTTTGCTTTTATTTTTATTTGATTGGCAATAAACCTCTTCATATACAATTTTATTTTACTATTTCGATGTATCATTTACAGTTTTATTTGCGTGCATGCATGTAAGTCTACAGTATTCTGAAGAAAAACTGTTTCCTGAAATAAGAGATTTGATCTAGTAATTAAAATTTTTTTTTTTCTCCTGTTCATGTAGGTTTTTTCTTCTTGCTCTTGCTAAGCTTGCAAAGGTCTTCCATTTTTATAATCGGGGCACCATCTACATCAGACTACCAGGGGAAGAAAAGCCTTTTGCATATCCTCCAGCCTTTGAAAGGAGACATAAAGTAGAATGGAATATAAGACAGTTTAGTATACTTTCTATATGGCAAATAAACCTCCCACATTTTGAAAAGACCGCCTCTTCTAACCCAGTCAGTTTTGCTCGCACCGCCTCAAGAGAATCCTCTGCATTCTTCTCATATTTGAAATAAAACACCCAAAGGTAGACCTATGAAAAAGATAGGAAGGGACCCCAAATTACCTTGTAAATTAATGGATGATGTGTCTGTCTAACCAAATTTGTGTTTTGAGGTCTCAAACACTAAAGCTAAGGCCAAAAACATAAAAGATCTATTAGGGGACAAAAACTGATTGAAGAAAGATCATTAAAGTTCCAAACCAATTGCAGAAATGAAATGCATACCTTGTGGATGATCTAGTTTGAGATAGGTCCACAAGCAACAGAAATTATTCAATAATACAGTTAATTCAAAAATGAGAAAATACCTCACAAATTGTGGCAAACTCTTATGAGATATCCAAAAGCAACTATATTCAATATCTAGGAATGAAATTTAAAAGTTATAGATGCCTTTCTTTGCCCAAGATAGTTTATTTGTTTCTCCATAAGCTAAAGTAAAGAGAAACAAGTAATGTGATTCTAGCTGACCACCAGCCCTGTGAAAGGTCTTGGTTTTGGTCTGGGATAGGAAGGAGGTTTATTGTTTGAATCACTGAAGTAGCCTTTGGGTGAATATCAGTGTTCTGCTCTGACTTAAAACGATGGTCCAAGAGTGGAAGCTGAAGCATGCACCTAAGAGGTCCTAACCAGGCACTTCATCAACTTTAAATAGCCATAACTTTTGATCTTAATGGGGTTACAAAACCAATTATATCGATACAACTTTATTCCATATCATCTCAAACCAAATTCACCTGGTTAGAGGCAGTTACAAGGTAAAATACACCATTTTCAAGCATCTTGGTGTTGTTTGAGTTAGTATACCATAATTCAATTGCAGTTTGAGCTGAAAATATAGTTTATATGTTTTTATCCTTTTGTATTAGGTTAGGATTTCATTAAGGGTTGACTGGCGCCTAGATAAATTTGTTTTTAAGATAATTTTAATCATCAATTAAAAGCAAAATTTCTCCAAAAATTTTATTGAGTTTGTATTGCTTTCTCCTACCAATTATCAACCATTATTTAACAATTGTTACAAGATTATATATCAAATTTGTGTTTTGTAATCCAAACATTACATGACGTCCCTCGTATGTGTGTGTGTGTGTGTGTGTGTGTGTTTTTGGTGCTTTTGCTAAATACCAAAAATCTAACATGACGTTCCCCTCCGTATGTGGTGTGTGTGGTGTCGTAGTGGTGTGTGTGTGTGTGTCTGCCTAATTATTAATATCACCTATATATATATATAATAATAATAATAATAATAATAATATACATTAAAATCTGTATTTATTTCGATACCAACCCTTTTTTTTAATAATAATAATAATAATAATAAAATTGTATTTATTTCGATACCACTTTTTTTTTTAATGGATTTATTTCAATACCACTTAATCATTGATGAACTCATAATATGGCTTATCAATTTGAAATTTATATTGAGAACATAAATATAAATATCTGCTAATTCAGTATTTGTGAAAGTAATATGAATCTACTAAAATCTTAATATCTGATTATACATGCACTCAACGAAGAATGAAAGTCAAACATGATTAGAACATTTTTACTCCACTTTGAATGCCCTCCAAAACTAATAGGAAGTTAACAATTTCCAGAAAGTAGGAAACAAAAAGGGTATACTTGCAGCAACGTAGCTCCAAGTAATCAAGAATGACAAATATGTCTTCCCAAAGGAAGTAGCATGATTAATTTATGCTATGATATATCAACAAAACATAGTTCTCAACTACATTCGTGAATCCTCACACCAAATGTTCCATCCTAAGTCTTGGTCAAGTGGGAGAGATTTGAATTTTAATATTTTGGTTTGCAAAGGGTTCCCATGCATGATTCACATTACTAGGACACACGCATAAAAGAAGGGTCAGTAATTTATTTGCATAGTTCATTTAATTAGAAGAAACGATAATTGTGTCATGAAATTGTTGTTGATGGGGACAAATTGTTCCAAATATAAAAAGAAAAAGAAAAACAATATCCTTCATCAAAGGAGGAAAAGTTCCATATGGAGCTCTAAATCAAACTTTAGATTTCCTTTCAAATGACTTCCTATTTAAAACGGCATTGAATTTTTTTTTTTTTTAAATAATTTTTAGTCACAACTAACGTATTATGTTAACATAACTATCATGTTTTATATTTGCATTTGACTGGGAAAATGCCAACTGTAAACGGAAGATGTTTTCATTCTATATTTTAAACCACTTCCGTAAACATTTCAGCAACTCCAAGGCTACTTCAGTAAATTTATTACTAAGAAAAACCTCCGGCCATACACGGAAAATGCGAGATACGAATCCAATGTTCTACAGTTGAAGTAATGAAGCCAATGAGTTAGCGAAAACTTACTTTGTAAACAGGACCGAATCCTCCATGACCAAGCTGATTCGACTCTGAGAAGAAATTGGTAGCGACTTGAAGCGTGCGGAGGTCGAAGAAGAGGTCATTAGTGTTAGCGTCGTCATCGTCGCCGCCTGTACCAGTGGCTCGGGCGAATTTGAGTTTCTCCAGGCAGCCGCAGAAATTGGAGAGAAGGCCCATCAAGGCATCAGATAAACCACCGCCCTGATATGGAGGTGGTGGTGGAGAATCTTCGTCCAGGTTTATTGATAGCAGTTTGTTCAGCTTAGAATCAAAAAAAGACAACCAGCGTGGAAGACATCGAATGGAGTAGTTGTGTGTTTGCTGTTAGCGATTGTTATTATAGTAGTTGACTCTGGGTTTTTATGTTTGGTTTGAACTTTCAGCACCCAAATAACATTGAAGAAAAATCAATTCCAACGAGGAAATTGCTTGACCGGACAGGATCCATAGCTACGTTCGTATTAAAGAAAATAAAAATTTTTTATAAAATATTTCGATTTTATTTATTTTTCATCGATATATAGTCAAAAATACCCTCATTTTAATAAGAAATTTTATTCTCATTAATTTGGTCTATGAGTAGCGCATGACCTCGTTTAGGTAAAAATTTTCCTTCAAACAATATATCTTCCTCCCTCCCGTTTTATCTCTTTATTATATCCAAAATATTTATAAGGTTTTTAAATTTATAAATCTAAATAATTATTATGCTTGTTTAATATACATGTTTTATCAAACCATGTAAATAAATGATTAAATTATATTGAAAAAAGAGAGAAATTTTTATATTATTAATGAAAATAAATGATTAAATTATTATCTTTTTCATTTTAAAAAGATAATTTGGAGAATGCTATTTATGCTTCTTTGAAATAAGGGGGAAAATTTTTGTCATCAAGTTTGAAAATACAATTTAAAATAAAAATAGAAATTATAATAATCAACTAGTGATTGAAATTTTAAATTATTTTGCTCTTATATTCATTTCTTAATTTTTTTTAATCTCTTTATAAATGAATTACACATGTATAATTCTTTTATTTCAACATAGTAGTAATGTTGTTGAACAGAACCTATGTATTATTGAAACAAAATATCTATTTTATTCATTATTCCAAAAATTAAAATCTACGAATATTTTTAGATCTATCTTGTATTTTGGTACGTGTATTAGGTAAATACTAATTATTCAGAAAATTAATAAAAAAAAAAAACTCTAATCAATTACAAACTATTTTTTTGAGATTATTCGTTGATTTTTTTATTTTTTATTATTTTGAATAGAACTTAAATTGAGACCGTTGGATCGAGAGAGTTAAAAATTTTAAATTAATGATTATCCTTGTGATCCTACAATATTATATTAATGTCATAAGAAAAATTATAGTAATATTATATTAAAAGTGTATTTAATTATATTACATTCTATTTCATTATGGCTTACCAAATGTGATCTCAATACCTAGTTTTTTCCTTTCATTTTCTCTTATTTTGTATTGTAAAGTTTTAGTTTTATTTCAATGTGTGTACCGTTTTATATTTTGAAAATTAGCATTGATTTTTTAAATGCTTTCATTTTGAAGGCCAAATTATGCATAAGAGTCAATTAAAAAAAAAAAAAAAAAAATGTGATACTCAATTACCTTAGTTTTTTCCTTTCACTTTTCTCCTTATTTTGTATTGTAAGTTTTAGTTTTTTATTTAATGTGTGTACCGTTCTATATTTTGAAATTAGCATTGATTTTTTAAATCTTTCATTTTGGAAGGCCAAAAATTATGCAATAAGAGTCAATTTTAAAAAACAAAAAATAAAAACGATCCCTGACGCAAATAAAAAAAAAAAAAAAAACGATCCCTGACGCAAAATAAAGTGGTGAATTAATTCAATTGCTAAAATAAAAAAAAAGTTTATTATTCTTTTATTATTATTATTATTATTATTATTATTATTATAATTATAGGGTCTTCTCTTTTTGCATTTGACAAAACCATTTTGATTTTCTTTTTTTGACCTTTACAAAACCAGTCATGTTTAAGTTGGATTATTCTTTCCAAAATTTCTTAATTAGAACAATTAATATTAGGAAAATTTCAAAGTCAAAATTAAAAGAACTTGGTAATAGTTGTATTATTATGGGCCCAATGCATAATTTGCCTCGTTTACTTTAGCTAAAAAATCTTGTAGCCCTCTATAATTCAAATGACCCATTTTTATTTTATATATATTATATCCTTCATTCTATCATTCTACGCATGTACTCGCCGTGAGCTGGCAAATGGCTCTAACGTACTAGTAATTGCATAAACACAACCGTTTTATTTTTTATTTTTTTACCCTACTAAAATAGCTTATCTGACATAAAATAATAAAAAATTCAAATTATGTAATTTAAAAAAAAAAGGAGCTCAGAGAATAAATATAATTAGTATAACCCAGTTTCTCTCTTCTTCTTCCTCGAATAACAATGTTAAGAAACAAAAATGACATCTAAGGAACAAATTCTATAATTATTTCCTTCCTTATCTTGTATAGAAATTCACATATATAAACTCAAACACTCAACAATGCAGAAACACACCCTTAAGAGATTAAAAGGCTAGAAATCCAGCATAGATCTAGACTTTTTTTAGCAATTTTGTATATTAACACCAAATAAGACTAAAAAAAAAAAAGAGAAAAAGACAAAATAATAATCCAAGTATAGAAAATGTCAAAAAAAAAAAAAAAAAAAAAAAAAACAAAAAAAACAACAAAAATCTAAAGTATAGAGCTCCCAAAATCCACGTTGTTCAGCTATTGTTACTGTTTGTTCCTCCCTTATTGCTTGAATTATGCAGGCTGCTCTAGTGCTTATAGGATTCCATTCTCTATCTCTTTCTCTCTGATATTATCATATTACCTCAAAATCCAAGCTATCTTAGATCAGTTCTTTATATCTAAACATTCAATTTCAAAAAACAAAAAAAATAAAAAAAACAACTCAAAAAACTCAAAAAATTAAAGAGAAAAACAAAATAACAAAATCACAATTCTCAAAGAGAGAGAACTCCAAATTACCCATAAAATTAAAAAGAGAAAAATCCAGAAAACAAGGTTAATCAGTGACCCATAAAAGAACGGATTTTCTTAGGAGAGGAGTAGAGTTATCTGTGCTGTTAAAAAAAAAAAAAAAAAAAAAAAAAAAACAACTCAAAACTCAAAAAATTAAAGAGAAAAACAAAATAAAAATCACAATCTCAAAAGAGAGAGAACTCAAAACCCATAAAATAAAAGAGAAAATCAAAACAATAATCAGTGCCCATAAAAAAGAACGGATTGTTCTTAGAGAGAGAGAGAGTTATTGTGTGTTAAAGAATAACAAAACAGAAACAAACACTCAAAAACCTATGAAAATGAAAAGTTAATTGAATTATTATTGAAAGTTAAAATATTGCTTAGTTTTCTTTGCTGGGTTTTCTTCTCTAAATCTAAAAACAACAAAATTTATTTAAAATTAAAAAAAAGAAAAAAGAAAAAGAAGAATAGAAAGGTAAGCCACATTCGATGATTCAAGAAGCACTCACTCTCTTTTGTAGTGCGTGCTTTTCCACTTGCCTAATCCAACGTAGCAAGGTATATAATAGATATAAAATAAAAAAGTATAAGGTTATAGGGGTTTTTTTAACTAAAACATAGGGGGCCAAGTTATGCATTCCACCATTTATTATGTGAAAAGGTGAGCAAATAGAGTTGCTCACTTAGCAACCCAATCCTATTTTATGACTAGCGGTGAGAAGTAGGGTCATGTTCGTCCTTGTTCTATTGTTAATGCTCTATATGTTAATTTGCAGCAACAAATTCATTTACTTTTGCAAAAAAAGAAAAAGTATTTAATTACATTAATTAAAAAAAACTACCTCCGTCCTATAATTTTTAATATTTTTTATTATTCGCAAAATATTAATTTGGTATATTGTTAATATATTTTTATAACAATAATTTTTACGATTTCTAATTAATAAATAAATATTTAATTGATATAATTTTATAAATTAAAGTATTTAATAAATTAATTAAAATATTTAACTTATAAATTGAAGCGTTCAACTGTAAACTAAAAATTAAAGTTGCCATAATATTTTTTATAACAATAAAGAGTACGGTTTGCACGTGGTTAAATTTACGTATTGAGACATTCGATTTGCGAAGGGAAAACGCAGGTGTAAACTAATAAATACATAAATAAATAAACATAATCCACGCAGATAATTACTCTGGCTGTTTTTTCACGATGCATCATAGTCATGCCCGACTTGAAAACGCATATTTCAACAGAACCGTAGTTGGAGTGCATTCCCATGTTTACCCTTCTCACAAGCCAAATTGACCTGTTCTTTTATCGTGTCCCCTCCCCTTGTATTCGTCAGCTCCGAGCAGCCATTGACCACCTTTCTTTAAACGCCGGCCACTAGCACAGTTACCGATCGGAGACTGGAGAAACAGATTTTCGTTTGCTTGACGAGAAAATAGATTGAAACGGACACGGAAATTTAAAGGAGAAATAGAAAATGAGGTCGGCATCTACTTGTGGTACAATAAACATCGCTGCTAGTGCTCAAAAACTCGATGTCGATAATCGGATTTCTCTCCGATACTATTACAGAATCGCTGATAATATTCTCAAACAGGTCTTGTTCTCATCTATATATCCATTGCTTGATATTGTTTATGATAATTTCTCATTTTCGGCTAGGGTTATAGGCGTGTATATAAATTTGGGCCTTTCTATTAAGGAAGCTTTGATTACATTGTGATTGAAGTGTAAGTAGTCTTGAGCTGTTTTTGTGCTTTTTAGTTTTGTTACATTTTACTTTTGTCTTGGTGAAAGTTGATAATTTAGGTTTGTTTGCTGCTGAACCTAAAATGTGAAAATGAGAATTGATTATTGATTGTCTCAATTTGATTATTTACTGTTGTTTTACGGATTGATACCAAGATGGTTGTTTTTTGAGAGCATTTTGATGTTTGGTGCATGCTATGCCTTTTTTCTTTTATTGTGATGGCAATTCAGTTTGGGACTTCAATTCCTTTTTTTTCTTTTAAATTGTATGAAATTGTTAAGAGATTAACTACTGACTAAAGTTCTAGTTTAGTAATTGGTCTGATGAGGAGTGATACTGACTAGACTTGTTGAACAATAGAAAGGTGGGAAGAGAATGTGTATGCCTGCAGTTTACTAAATTAAGCGAATGCCACTTTATGTACTAAATTCAATTGTTTTCCTCCAGTACCTTTAAAACAAATTTTAGTCAAATGTGTTTGCATTCCTTCGCTGGTAGATCGTTTTTGTCGCCTCTGGCTTAATAGCTCTAAGTGTGGTACATTCATCTAGCATCTCCATTGAAATGGGATGCATTTAGTATTTACCTTTGCTTTATGCTTGTTATGGACAGAAAGCACAGATATTACATCTAGTCTTCTACTGTTTTATCTGGCCTTTTTGCATCTTTTCCAGTTATTTATGAATAATGTTGCAGTAGTTTCTGTATCCTTTTGCAATGTGCTCTAAATTCAATGTTCTAAAATTGTTAACTTTGATTTTTGTTGCACTTTTTACATTGCAGGCTGACATCTTTCGAGAAGAAAATAATATTATAGATCTGTATATTATGCTTTTAAGGTTTTCCAGGTGAGAGTAGGAGCTACGAATTTTGTTGTAAAATTTCAAGAAGGGCGGGGAATTTCATTTTGGTGTAAAATTTGATTTGGCATTAGTTTGTGTCTATGAAAAATGATGATCTATCATAACATTTTACTTTTACGCTGTACTTCTTTTTCTGTAGTTTGGTATCAGAAACAATACCACGTCATCGAGATTATGGGGCATCTCAACAAAGCAAAAAAGTTAATTTGAAAAAGGTAATATCACTTATTTCTTTTTCTTTTTTTTTTTTTTCTCCTTGTTAGAATCCATTTCTTTTTAAAATTTTGGGGTTGATATTGATTTTAATTAATTTCTTTAGAAATTATTAAATGCTGTGAATGAGTTGGAGGATTTGAAGCCAGAAGTGCAGCAAAAGATCAACGAATTTAACAGAAAACACACACATCAAGTAAATGGGAGGGACTATTTCCTGCAAAATGATTCATTAGAGTGGCCTCCTGTTAAAAAGAAAACCTTGACTAGCTATAATGGGATAAAGGTATTGTTAAAGCTCCATATTGGTTGATAGCTACTGCTTGCTAGTTTCAACAACTTGTGATCAACTGTGTTGCTAGGCAGAATTCTCCTTTGTTACTCTTTTAATCAACTGATACTTTTGCTTTATCTGCTTTATGGGGATTAACTTATGTTCCTGTACTACTCTGGATTTACAGGCTCTGAGGCCGCCTACACGAGAATTTGTTTCTCAAGGTTCAAGAACTCAGCAATTTTCATATGCTAGACCAGTGGAAGAGCAGTTCCGGAGAATGTAAGTGCTTCAATACAAGATGTGGTTCTCCTTCAAATAGAAGGGTTTTCCTCCCACTTCTTGAGTATGCCACTAGTATATCTTCATTAGTGACTTTTTGCTTTGCAAAAATGTTATGTTTTTTGGTTGTGTCTGAATAAAACAAATTCTTTGGTGCTTTACAATTAGAATAGCCTTTTTCTTTGAAGAATTGTTTAAATCCTTACTTTTAAACCTTTCATTTGAATGACAATAAGGGACCAGGACATTTTTTTACGTGAATTTTTGATGTTAAGAGTACAGTCTATAAAGCTTGGAATTATCACCCCTTTGACTTCAGTTTCAAAAGGTTTAAGCATCTCTAAGTTCTTGCTTGCGGCCATTAAACTTTATCTCTCCTTTAGTCCCTATATTACGCATTCTTAAGTATTAACTTTCAGTTCCGTTGAGACATTAAATGGTGATGCATCTGTTGGGAGTGCATGGTAAAATTTAATTGTTGTTATTTAACTTATCACTATTGTATATTAATTTCACTAAACTTTAATTTGTCTCTTAAAAATCTGTGGACCTTTACTGAGGTATCAAATATCAATTATATAATTGAGACTTAATTCTGGCCAAATATCTGCCAGAAAGCTGACATAGACAACAGACCCTATTTTTGACACAAAAGTGGGACACCTCAACACAACTTTTTCTCTCCTCTCTTTACCCACTTACACAAACTCTTCTTTACTGCTGACCACCCCTTCTGTTGTTCTCCGTCTTTGTTGAAATAAGAGAAAATTTGGCTTATTTTTCATAGGGCATTTTTAGGAAAAATAAATATAGTTTTACAGATATGATGCTTAATCGAAATCTTTTGAACTTTAGGCACTAATTTATGATGTTCTAATTATGAGATTTATTTGCAAATTAAATGAATTCCTTATTCTTTGTTTCAAAATCAGAAAGTGCAAAAAAAATGTTTTAAGTCTTCATTGCCAACTAAATTTACAAATATATTCTAATGGCAACTGGGAGATGATGCTTCAGCCTATAAACATTTCAAGCTAAATTATACTGAAGAGCAGAGATTATAAATTTCGGAGGATGGATTCCCTGCCACAAGGGCTCCGATATGCTATGTGTATTAATATGCATGTTTTTCTGTTGGGACATGGATACACGTATTATTAGTTACTCTGAATACTACATAATATGAAGTGCCAGTCAGTTTTTAACTTTTAGTACATTGAGATCCTTATTGGGTGTACAGCTTTCAGTTTGAAATTCTAGTCAGTTTCTAAATTGGCAGTTTGGTGACCCTCCCAAGCTCAGACTTTCAGGGAGGCCTAATTAGGTGATTCTGTAAACATGAGGTTGATGATAGAGACAACTTGGTTTATAGGAAGGGCATGAAATGAGCCTATAATTCCAAGAGATATTATTTTGTTTCTTCTGTCTGTCCGTCTGTTCATTAGAATTAATTAATTAACTAACTTCAATGCCTGAGTCAATGAGGATTTGATTTTGACTTATACGCGTCCTTTGCTATCCTGTACTTCTTTACAAGTCGACTCACTTCTTGCAGATCTTTAAACTTCCCACGTCCAAAGGAGGAGACTCTCTCCAGACATTCTATACTGGGTCCAAATGGGCTTCATGGGCAGTGGCAACCACCTAGGAGTGACAAAGGAGTATGATGTTATCCATCTTTTTGTTTTTTGTTCCTTCAGGCAAAGTTTGTGCTAATCTATTTCATGTGAAAGCAGGTTCAGTATCCAAGCTATGTGGACCTCACTCCAATAGAAATCCCAAGGTTTGACTCTTCTCTAGCTTTTGAAGTATATTTTAATTGCTGTTTTGGATTTCAATAGATTGACTGACGATAATGGGAGTTTCAATAAAAGTTATCGTTTGAAGTCATCATGTGGTTTGATGATGTTGATTTGTTTCAAGTTGTTTCTTCTGAAGAAACTTCTATTATATTGTTGTTTCATATTTTGCTGCCTTTTTTTTTTTTTTTTTTTTTTTGACTCTTCTCTAGCTTTTGAAGTATATTTTTAATTGCTGTTTTGGATTTCAATAGATTTGAACTGACGCGATAATTGGAGAGTTTCAATAACAGTTATTCGTTTGAAGTTCATCATCGTGGTTGATGATTGTTGATTTGTTTCAAGTTGTTTCTTTTCTGAAGAAAGAAACTTCTATTATATTTTGTTTCATATTTTTGCTGCCTTTTTTTCTTTTTTTTCTTTGTTTTTGGTTTTGGATTCTTTTTTGGTCTATGGGTGGATTCTACATTCGGAACTTTTTTTTTTTTTTTTTTTTCTTTTGTGGTTTTGGATTCTTTTTGATGGGTGGATCTACATTCGGAACCAGCCTGCAGCAATCTACAGAAAATGCAGTTACAGTGAATAAGAACTACAGCAATTCAGAACACAATAACCTTCAAAAATCGATCGAAAATGGATTTACATTAAAATCAGACAGCAGCAGCCCAGAGCCTGAAAGATCAAGTTTAGAATCAGTTGTTTCTGTTAGTGATGATAGTCAGATGCACCAAACTGAAGAACCTGCTTCCATGATTTCCTTTGAGACAATTGAAATCCCTGTTCAGACAGATCTGATTAGACAACCTTCTCCTCCAGCTGTGCTTGCTGAAGTACAAGATTTGATACCTTCATTGTCGCCCCAAGTTACTGAAGCAGAGCATAAAATGGACATTTCCTCACCTAATGATTTTGTTCATTCTGAATCTCCCCTGCAATTGCACATTGTAAGCTCCTCAAGAACATTGTTCTTTACAATTTTACTGTCCTATTTTTTGCAGTTAGTCAGGAATCTTGCTGATGGAAATTGTTATTCATTACGTGTCATGCAACTTTGTCCATCTTTAAAATTTTGGGACCCTGTATTTGTCTGTTTGTTTTCTCAAGCTAAGTATTTGTGATCTACTAGCTTATCCAGGAGTAATGTGGTTAGCAAAAGAAAATAAGGGTGTTTGTGGGAAGGTTATGTCAACTTGTATATTCTCCAAGCTTTATGAAGGCACTGTTGCCTTAAGAAGTTGGAATACTGGAGTGTGAGAAAAGCAATGGAAGGGGAGGAGATATTGGTTTCTGGTCATGTACTAACTGCTTGTTTCTTTGCAGTCAACCACGATGATGGAGAATTTCATGAAGTTGGCAAAGTCAAATACCGATAAACATTTAGAAACTTGTGGTGTCCTAGCTGGTTCTCTTGTAAGTTCTGATAACCTAAAAACTACTGTTTTTTATCTTTGCAATTTTTTATGCTGATGGTTCAATTAATTACCACTTTGTAGAAAAACAGAAAGTTCTATGTTACAGCTCTCATTATTCCAAAGCAGGAATCTACATCAGATTCGGTATGGCAGTTTATTTAAACATTGAGGATAGTTTTTTCATATTTATTTATTAATTACATAGATTTGATTGCCATTTAAATGCACACTTTCTTACCAGTGTCAGACTACAAATGAAGAGGAAATATTTGAAGTACAGGATAAGCGATCTCTATTTCCTCTCGGGTGGATTCATGTGAGTAAAAGTGTCCATTAATATACTTTTGCTTATCTGTCGCTTCTGGTATAAAATGAGATGAGCCTTTCCTTTGGTATGGGACTATCAAGCTTTCTTGCCATGCTAACTATGAGTACAGAAATAAAAGTTTATTCTGCAATTATCTATCTGTATGTGTATGTTTCTTGTCTGATCTAAATTTAACATTACCCTGCCAACTTTAGTTTTGCATTGATGCTGATTAAGTTCTTCTCAGTTTCATGTGTACTTGATGCCATTATTATTACTTCAATCGTTATGATTTTTATTTGTCTGCTGGGATTTCCTTACTTGGATGTTATTGGATCCTGAATCAAGACTCAGTGTTGGAGTAACTTTAGAGTCTGAAGATTTCAGGTTAAACATAATTAAAATGGACTATACATTTAATAGTGCCAGTTGTGGATAAGTGAAGGATATTAGATCAGAGGGAGTAGAGCTGCCTTGGTGTGCTCATTTTGGAGACTTCAGTTCCATATGAAAAGATGGGGAATATGGTGGGAAGATGTTAATGCATAGAACTGAAAGCAAGACAGGTGGTTGAATTGGCTGTTGTTGGGGTGCTTTGTACAAAAACCACTAGTTATGCTGAAGAGTAAATTCTATAAAACCGCTATCGGACTGACTGCCCTCTACTTAAAAGAGCCGTGATCAAATGAAGGGCTACATGACAAATGGCAATTTCTGGAAATTGCAAGTGACAGAGAAGGTGAACATATTACTATGCATTAATGTTCTGGAAATTGGGGGCAGCTTAGCTTCCTGAAATGGTTTAGCCTTTCTAATATTCGACCTATGGATCTGACTGTGTAAAAAAGTGGATGAATTGTAGTGGTATGAATGAGTATGTTGGTCCGAAGATGATTTAAGTTAAGATCCATCATATAGCAGGAGTGTGGGAAAAACATCACTGTTAACAATGATAAGAAGAAGCAGGTCTTGAACTGTTTACTTATGTGTGCTATAGTCAGGGCACGATTCTGAGAAACATCATTTGTTAATATTTATTTGCGGCAAAAATAATGTCAAAGATGCTGCTTGTGGGATCTTGATACTGTTTTAATTTAGTCATGTGAGAATTTGCATTTGGATAACTTGTATTACACTCAAGTTTACTTTGCAATTGGTGAAACTCTGTGAAACAAATAAATGCTTATATATCATTTAGAGTTTAATTCTCACTACAAAGTTTTTTTTGATTTATATATTTTCTCAGTCACTATTAAAAAATTTTCTTCTGACTTGCTGGTTTCTCCCCATGCTGCAAATTCCAGACACATCCTACACAGTCTTGTTTCATGTCATCAATTGATCTTCACACCCATTATTCCTATCAGGTGATTGGCTCTTCCTGTTATTTTATAGTTCACTCTCATTGCAGAGGAAGTCATATTACATAATGTTCTTGTTGGTTAATTATTTGAAGTGGTTCAGTAGAAGTGGGAGTCATATATATAGCGCCTTTACATCATCAAAGGCCATGATTTATGCAATTATTGAGAAAGTAATCACTTTATAGCTTAATCAGTTGGATAGTTAGAGCAATCATAAAGGTGCTACATAAATGTGAATGGTGTATAATGTATCTGAGAGTATCTTTTTACCTTACATTCAGTAGTTTTTCATTCTATCCAGTTTTTTGGCTTGATTTTTTTGTCAGATTAGATAATGCAGCGGCCAATTTTGATCTAGTTTTTTCCATTGCCTGTTTCCATCAGTTAGTTCTTTTGTTGATCATTTTCTTTATTGTTCATTTATACGATTTTTCATTCCTCAGATAATGTTGCCAGAATCTGTTGCCATTGTCATGGCACCAAGAGATACTTCAAGGTAACTTTTTGTGTTATTAAATTTCAACTTTTTGCAATTATGTCAACTTAATTATATATATATTTGGTGCAGAAAACATGGCATTTTTCGGTTGACATCCCCTGGTGGCATGTCCGTTATAAGACACTGCCAGCAACGTGGATTTCATCCACATGATCAACCTCCAGATGGTGGGCCGATTTACAACACCTGTACAGATGTCTATATGAATCCCAACCTAAAGTTTGATGTTATTGACCTACGATAATCTTGTTCCAATCTCAAGCAATCTATAATGTTTTGGCAATGCAATTGTTCATAAACCATCAATTTATGGTGAGTGGCTTTACCATTTATGTGTTCCTTATTAAATTGTAAAGAAGTGAATATATTACAACTGCCTGTATACTGATACGAATCAGTCTATTTGAACTGGAAAAATACACGTTCAAACTTTTCCAGCGAGGACTCAGTCCCCTTGCTGGTTTATGACCGTTACATCCCTGCATGCACATATGCATGCATATGTACATGCTGGCTCAAATGCATTTACAAGCTTGATATGCTCCTGCAAACTGGGGCAGGGGGCGGCTAGTGGTTCTAGTGGTTCTTTCTTTTTTAAAAGAATCCAGTTCAGAATTGAGTGGTTCTAGCTGGTTCAAGTGGTTTCAAAGTAGTTTCCAGCTAGTTCTGGGTTCCGATAGCCCTTGACTGTCTGGTGTGAACATCAGGAAAATGAAAGCTCAAGGAAGAAAGCAGTTAAGCAAACATGGAGAAATCATGAAAAGAAATGGAGTGATGTAAAAGCAAAAGGTGAGATAATAATAATCTCCACAGAATGTGTGCATTGGGAAATCAGCTTTGGTGGGTGGGTGGACTCTTTTAGGAATGGATTTATTTTTCCTTTCTAATACGTGCATCTTTTGAATTCCCAGTATTGTCCATGAAAAGCCGTCCAGTACTCTGTTTTCCAAAGCAAGACTTGGAAAATACTTCAGTCTTGGTTATTGATTGGTGAAAAATGCTTTTCTTATTAAAGAAAACAAGTCTTTCTTTCACGCCCAACAAGCGTCACATTTGTCTCCTCCTGATGCTTTTTAGGTCATAGCAACCTGCAGTGCTCTCATGCTTCTACTTTGGGGCAAACAAAGCATCTTGAACTGTGCACTAGTACTGGCTACCGTTTATGAAACGGTTGCTTATTATCATACATAGGGGAAAAACACATTTTTCTAATGGAGTTCAAAAATTTCGCTCTTGTAATCTAATGACAGTAAGGTTGCTTCTTTTAACATTAAAAAAGAAAAAATACAGCCACAAACACAATTTTGAGAAAGAGCGATAAGACTTCCCATGAAATCAAAACTCAACAGAAAAAGCTGCTCTGCCAATAAAATGGTGATGAAACAAATGTCTATTTTTCATTTACATGTTATGTTTTATCTAACTACACCCTCAACTGGTTCGAACAAAATTAGGATTATTTTGATTCTCTATATTATTAAAATTCTTCCTCTAATTTTGATTAAATTACTGCAACTTTATTTGCATTTTTTTTTCCTAAAATTAGTTTCGCACCCACAATCTCAGTTAAGGGTTAGGGTTGTTTCAATTGAGTTCTAACTTTCAACCTTTTTTTTAAGTTCAATGAATTAAACTAATATTGTGAAATACAATAAAGTTAGTCTTCATTTTGGCTCGATAAATTGATAAAAACACTTGTAGTTGGAAGAATTTGAACTAATCAAAGAACATACGAGTGACACCTTTAGTTAGTTCTAATCAGATCAGTAATTACTATATTTTTTTTACTATACGTGGTTTTGAGGTAAATTACTCAATTTTAGGTTTCGATTCTTCATGGAGATTAAATACTAGAGAAGTGCAAGTAGTGGGTAGAGACATGTTACAGGTGATGTATGTAGGGCCTCATTGTGGAAATAAGACCAAAGCGTTGCTAACAAGCAGTTACCAAGCACTCGTCGTTAGAAATTAGAATACTCAGGATGGGGCCATGTGTCTCTTTGCTTGTTCACGTGGACATATCTGACAAAAATGGATTGCATGTCCATGATCAATGATGTTGGTGTAGGGTAGGAATGGCTGTTAGATTCATCTGCACTAATGGACCCCATTTCCCCACGCCATACGGTTTCTCCCATGGATAGCGGGTCAAGTAACCCTTAAAATGTACTACTCGAAATTCAATTTAATTATAAATTAAGTACCTAAATTTAAGAGTGTAAACAAACTGAGCTAATTTACAAGCTGTTTGAGTTTGGTTCTAAAAAATTCAGCTCGAACTAACTTGTTTAGTAAATGAGCTGAACTTGAGTTTAATCATATTCAGCTTTAAAACTCATCGAGCTTTATATATATACATATATAATATTTTTTAAAAAAATTTTTCGAGCCTCAAGCCAAACTTGAGCTCAAAATTTTTTGAGTTAAACTCGAACCCAACTCGAGCTTTCATCAAGTTAAACTTCGAACTTGGCAGATTTGAGCTCGGCTCGGCTTATTTAAACTGTACCTAAATCTGTCTTGAATTCATTTAGAAATTTACTTTTTATTATGTGAAACCCATTGTAAATCCGATTACAATTACTCGTTTAAATACATGTTAACTTTAAAAATAAAAATACATAAAAATTATAAAATTATATTTTGCTTTAAAAAATATAATATTAATATTAAATGTGAATATAGCTTCAATTATATTTGGAACTGCATGGATATATATATTTTTTTTTTTGAGAAAAATAATTATTTTAAATATTTTTGTAATATCAATTAACGGGTAACGGATAATGGGTACCTATATATTCTTTCGATTCATTAAACCTCCTATGCATAAAAAATTAAATTAATTAATTAAAATGGATAATCATATTATTTTGATTATTTTAAATAAATCATATTAATTAAATGAAATGGATAATCATATTAATTTGAATTTTTAGATAATCTATATTAAATAAATTAATTAAAAATTGCTAATTATTTTAATTTAATTTTTTTAGACAAATCAAATTTCAAATATTATCTATATTTTAAAGTAAAATATTTTAATCGGCTATAACTAAAGATATTGTATGATATATAAAATTTCACTAAAGACATTTTATCTTTTTTTTTTTTTTTTTTCATTTGTATTTGTTATAGAGGTATTAGTTCTCATATTATTTGCAACAAAATCAACTTTACTACAATTTTTTTAAATCCAAATAAAATTCCATCCAATTACATATCAATCATACAAGAAATTCAAATGTACAATATCAATTCATGTAATTCAACTTAAACTATAAAACAACGATACCTTAATCATAGTAAAGAGATATTTTGCGATTTCAGTTATAAAATTCTTTTGACTTTTCAGCATTAGCACATCTTGCAATCAAAGTTAAATGCTATATGAAAATATGTCTTTATCTTTAGATTGAATTAAGTTGTGAAGGATCTTTTTTGTATACAGATTCAAACTAACATATTTATATTACAATATTAAACCTAAATTGTCAATAGCAAGAATGTTAAATTAACAGAGATTAGACAAAGGAAACATTCAAAATTTGGTGTCCACCTTCTGCCTTGTCTTTGAAGCAGAGTGAAAAGTCAAAAATGTTTTTCAACTAATCCAAGTATTAAAGCTTATTTGATATTCCTCTTATTTAAGTCACATAATTCTCTTTTGAAGGTTATTTAAGTCATGTAATTTAAAGTATGCGCAATGCATATACTCCTTCCGTTCTTTTTTATATAGACAAATTTTCCTTTTTTAATAACATTGTAAAAAAAGCCAATGTAAAAACCTCATATTATCTTTGTCTTATTCGTTGTAAAAGTTTTATTATGGGAGATTATTAAGTTTCCTTTTTTAATAACATTATAAAAAAAGCCAATGTAAAAACCTCATATTATCTTTGTAAAAGTTTTATTATGGGAGATTATTAAGTTAATGTCAGGCAAAAGTTTAGATGGGCTTTAAATGTGAAGAAAAGTTAGTCAGTTGTTATTCTTTAAGCTTACGTTGGAAAAATAAATATGGTCCAGTTAAGAAAATGTGATTTGATTGACATGAAATTTGAGTTTTAAAATGGCACAAAACTTAGAAATGGAGTACAATTAAGAGTTCTAATTTTGTACTTTAGCCATTTTTTTGTGACCGTATATTTAAATTCTTTGACAATTACTCAAGTCTATTGGAAGATTATTTGAGCACGAAATAATCATTTTTTAATACAACTTATACAAAGAGGGACTAATAATAAGTTTCTCTCAAAGGCTAGAGCATAACTTTTTTTTTTTTTTTTTTTGGAGTACAATTAAGGAGTTCTAAATTTTGTACTTTAGCCATTTGTTTTTGTTGAAACGTATATTTAAATTCTTTGGACAATTTACTCAAGTCTATTGGAGATTATTTGAGCACGAAATAATCATTTTTATACAATCTTATACAAAGAGGACTAATAAATAGTTTCTCTCAAAAGGCTAGAGCATAACTTGTTTTTTGTTGTTTTTTTTTTTGAGACTTCTGTTTTGATTTTTTTTTTTTTTTTTTTTTGAGACTCGTTTGATTTTCGGTCGAATTTATGATTTATGTGCATATTTTATAAGACATATTGTTGTATTTGTCCAAATCTGTGAGCAGTCCAATTTATAAATTAGGTCCAATTTTTTTAGGAAGCCAACGTATTTATCAAAATTTTAACTAAGGATGCAAAATTGAGTTTCAAAATTTTGAATTTTTATTCTTTAATCAAATCGAAGACTATGCATTTAATGCGTTATTAAACCAAGAAATATTACTAAATGTAATTTTACATTTAGGGGAGGAATTAACGTGATATTAGGGGTATAGTAGGAAAAAATAAGAAAAAATAGTTAATTAAACTAATTTTTTAATCTTGTGAAAATACGATTGTGCATATATAAAAAGAATGGAGGGAGTATAATATTAAATAACTCTTAAGACAAACTATTAGGGCATTTAATAAATGTGCATTTTAGAATGATACTTTGTTGCAATTTTTCTTTTCTTTTCAAATTAGTAAGAAATATTCTTAGATTAGCTTGTGAATATATCAAAATTAGGTCTAATACTACAAAATTCTGGCACACAGGGAGAATGTGGAGAATGGTAGGTCTTTAGTTCAAGTTTTTTAGCTATAAGAATTTTCATTAATTTAGTGAATAAAGAGAAGAGCTATTCTTATTATATAATACTCAATATTATATTCATCTACCAAATTCTTTTTAATAAATTGAAGATGATGATAATAATAATAATAATAATAATAATAATAATTGGTATCCAATATATAAAATTATGTCACTATCTATAGTAAATGCCACCACTGCCATATGAGGAATCTCCTAAAGCAACATTTTTCATTTTATCATCTAATATTGGATTCCTTAGATTATGGTTCAAGGCAAAGGCTAAAAACTTACAAGAGAAACTGTAATTGTCAGAGTAGTTTTGATACTTAAATTAAATAAATGATTTACAAACAATAAATAATTTAAACTATACATACATATATGCATTTTTTTAAAAAATATATTTAAAATATATATATATTTTGTAAACCAAAATATCTTTTTATAATGAAGAGGTTCACACGTACCAAAGAATTTGAATTATTTGGATGAATAAGCCAAAAGAATTATGTTTCAAAAGAGACAAAAGGAAACTGTTCCTTCACCTTAAAACAATAAAATAAATTAATGGAAACAGGAGAATTGCTGAAAGAAAGAACAAAGGATGCCTTCTGAGGTTGATGTGGCAGCATAAAAGTCAATTATATGGTGAGAGGGTTAACACAACATGCTTCTAAAGAAGCTAAACATTAATGATTTACTTTACTCACTCTATCCCTCTATGGTTATTCAAAACAAATTAATAATTAAATAATTAATTAAAAAACTTAACAGATTTTCCTTTTTTTTTTTTTTTTTTTTAAAAATTGTTTTTTTTTTTAAAAAAATTTCTTCTTGACTAATTTTAATAACTTATCACATTTAATTAGACAAAGGATTTTTTTTTTTTTTTTTTTTAAAAATTTCTTCTTGACTAATTTAATAACTTATCACATTTAATAGAACAAAGAAATTTAAAATTGAAAATAAAATAGGATAATGCCTAATCAATTCAACAGATAATAATTGTTGTTACTAGTTAGTATCAAATAACAACTTTAACAATATGTATTTTAACAATTTCAATATTTTGTTACAACAAATCACTGTTATGTCAAAATTTACAGTATGCTAATTTAGAAATTAAAATAAACTGTTTTAGACTTATAACTCTTTCTCTTCCTATATTTTCTTTTAACAATTCTTCTATGATTCTTGTTTGCTGTTTTTCTTTGCCCTGTATAGAAGGAAACCACCTCTCTCTCTCTCTCTCTCTCTCCCTTCTCTGTTTCTCACAAGCATATATATTTTCTTCTCACCAAAATAACTGCAAAAAGTCTCAAACACTTCAAAATTAAAATCCTCTTTTATATCCTTTCCCTGTTTACCCCATACAAAGTTTAGTAGTTTCTTGTCCTCTTCTTGTTTCTTGATTTCAAGAACCTCCCTTGCTTTCTTCCTTTTCTCTGACTTTAGCAGGCAACAAATTCCCTTCTGCAGTATCTCTGCTTCATTTCAGATCAGAAAGAAACATTCTTTCTTCTGATTCTTTAGTTTTCTCAAATTCATCCCACATTCTTGAATCTACACAAAAAGCTGCAATTCTTTTTTTTTTTTTTTTGTCCTCTTCAATTATTCTATGAAATCTTCAATTTTCACTTCCTTTGACTCGGTAGTCTAATCAGAATATCTTATAGTCCATCCATCATCTTTGAATACTTTTTCGTTTCCTCTTTCTTGAACTAATATTAATTCAGTCTTTTCTTTTTGTTCTCAACATAATTGTAATAATAATAATTTCTTGCTTTCTGCTGTACCATTAATATGTGTTCAGAAACAAGCCCTCGTATATCATTCTCTAATGATCTTGCTCATGGCGATGGCACAGAAAACGAGCACGTGCCTAGAAGAGACACAACGCTCCTTGAATCAAATTCCGACTTCGAATTCAACATCTCCAGTCGTCTGCTAGATTATGAATCTTCTTTGGCAGATGAGCTTTTCTCCAATGGCATGTTACTTCCTTTCCAAGATAATAAACAAGAAACTTCTCCAAACGTTTCTCAAAATATTTCACGAAACGTTTCACGACATGTTTCTCTCCTTCCTCTTCCTTCTCCTTCTTGTTCCACTCTTACCAGTTCTTCAAATTCAAGAAAGAAATTGAGTAATACTGAAATTAGGGTTTCGAATTCGGAATTGGAAGAAAAGGCAGAGCCAAAATCAACATTTTGGGGATTCAAGAGAAGTAATAGTCTAAACTGTGATCTAAAGAAAGGTTCAATTTTTTCATTGCCAGTTTTGTCAAGAAGCAATTCAACTGGAACAGCAGCGCCAAATTCAAAGAGATCATCAATGGCAAAGAAGTTATTACCATCAACATCTTCTGGTTCTTCTACTAATTATGTGTACACATTTCCTCATAATAATAATAATAATAATAATAATAAGCCTCCGTTGAAGAAAAAGTATGGTGGAGTACCTAATTGCAACAATGGTGTTAAAATTAGTCCTATTTTGAATGTTCCTCCTCCTTATATAGCTAAAGGAGCTGCAAATCTGTTTGGTTTGGGATCTCTTTTGAGAAATGGCAAAGAAAAGAACAGAAAGTGATCAAGGATATTAATTATTAGTAATTTCATTATGAAATTAATTAGCTATTCTATGTCATATTTATATGTGTATGTATAGATTATCTGGGTTCTTGTTATTAATTGTTAATTAATCTCTCATTTCTTTTAAATTAATTAATTAAGAAGGGGTAAATTAAGAATCTGGAAAGCTAACTAAGTAATTATATAGTACTCCCTTCTTGCTGATTATCTATCATTTTTTGGTTTTTTAAGTTCCTAAATATCTGTTATTTTATCATTCCAAATACAATATTTAATTTTTTTATAATATACCCTTATTAAATATATTGTCCATAATAATTATAACTCCACTGTGTTATCAATTTCTAATAAATTTTAATGAATTAGATATTAATAAAAACTACATACGACGTAATTAATTAATTATGTATATAATTTGAAACAAATAGATAGGGATGGAAGAAGGGGGTTTCTTGGAAATAATGTTGATGTAAATCAAAATGTCACAAGCATAGGAGACATAGCAACAGGTATGCTTCTTTCATGGCTTGTCACATTCTGTCTATCTTTTCAATTTCTCTTCACCAGAGGGGTCTTTTTTTTTTTTTTTTTTTTTCTCTTCACCAGAGGGTCTTTTTTTTTTTTTTTTTTTCTTATCATAAGGACGATTTCTTTTTTGGGTTTGTTTTCTTGTATGTTTGTTGTTCATTGTAAATTCAATATATTGTTTTTTTTTTTTTTTTTTTCTTATCATAAGGACGATTTCTTTTGGGTTTGTTTTCTTGTATGTTTTGTTTTCATTGTTAAATTCAATATATTGATTCTTCTCAATGTTTGTAATTGATTAAAATAAATTTGCTATTCATAAATTAGGTCAAATAATTAAGAATGAATTTCATATCAACTAAATATCCAATCCATAAAAGGGTATATAAGAATAACAATTTAGCTAATTAATTGGTTAGTATTTAACCTTTTAGAAATAAATCAATACTCGATACATATTTCCAACCTCATTTGAGAACTCATCTTAGTATGCTGTGATGGAGCAATTAGAACATATGATGTACATTTAAAATTTCTCGATGGATAATATTTGGTTCCTAGTCCAAAAATTAATTATAAATGAGAGAATTTATAATAATTTATTTGCTTGATACGAGTAAGTGTTACTACATTTAATAGCATGTCCCTCTATAAAAATATAGAGTTGTGTTCTTATAATAATTGTCTTGCAATAATTGCAATCATTTAATAAATAATTATATTAAATCATTTTGAGCATAAATAAAAGCAATAATAGGTTGCCCTGAATTATTTCAATTAACACATGCTATGATAATTAAAGGCCAATGTGTAAATTCACCATCATTCTCAAGATAAATTGTCTTGATAGCATAATTTGAAAATTATATTTTTCATTAAATTATTTGCACAAATAATCATGCAAACTTCTAATTGCATATTGATAATAATCTTTGCAAACTTCACGTTGCAAGTTAATAATAATCATGTAATTATCTTTTAGATGCATCCATAATATATCCAAATAAATTGATCAATAATTTCCCTTTATATATTTCAGAAAATATAAACAATTCAAATTAAACTCTACTCGGTGATTGCTTAATAATTAATTTGTTTCAAGAACAAACTAAGCATGAAAAATTCAACAGATTTGAAGAAACTTCTGGTTCTTCAATAAATATCTATATAAGGATCAATTTTCCTTTTTCACATCATCATTGATTAGGATGGTCCAACCGATTATGCCAAATAATAAAGTACTTGGATTTTCAAACTTCTGGTTTACAACCATATTTATTTCAATCATTATCTCTATATGATATCAAATTTGATGAATATTTTTGGAATGATGTATTATGCATAAAATGTATTCTTTTAGGTAGTAATACTTGCTCTTCCAGAGCTTTTAAATATTTTTTTACTACCAAAGCCAAATTTCTTTCAATATTTTGGTGTACAACAAGTACATAGCCAATATCCATATATGTCACCTTATTTGTATCACTTCTGGTGGTAAAATTTATTCTTAATTATGTGTCCACTATAATTGCTAAGATCATTACTTCAACTGTGATCTTACTAATATTCTCAATGACAAATATATCTTCCTCATTATTCACACTCACATCCATTTGTTGCATTCACTTCATGTGATGTTTCATGTCTAGTTACGCGGGTTTCACTATCCCACACCCATTATTATATATGGTTCCATTCACTTCAGGGAATGGAGCAAATCCAATTGGATGAGTTTCATGATTTTTCATTACGACCTTTTTATTTTACTCAATGATAAAAGGACATGATATAAACCCAAAATATATATATATTAAAATCTATTTTATCGATATTACTACTTCAAGAGCATATTTGAGGCATAAATATCATTGATAAATTTAAATCAAGAGCTTAGTATAGGCTCCAAACATAATAACAACAATGTCTTAATTATATTTAAGAAATAAATCAATCAATTCTCAATGGTTTGTAGCACATGGATAATATATACCAATATATTGCACTAATTATAATAATAAAATAATAACCTTGATATTGCAAAATTAAAGTAACTTACAATTTTATGATCTTATGACCATAAGTGCATTAATTATGATTAGCTCTTTTAAGCGTTGTACCTTCCTTTCAAACCACTTTTAAAGATAAACAAATTCAAAATACTTGAATCTTAACTTTGGTTGTCGATCCCTCCTCAAATCGATAGAAAAAATCGTGGTAGAATAATCGTGTTGATAACGTGTTATAAAATAATATAAAACTAGAGAGAATAGAGAGAATGAATAGAGAGCAAAATATGAGAGAATATGAGAGTGTGTTTATTATTGATGAGAAGCTACATATATAGTTACATAAGTGAAACCCTACACAAATCAGTAAGATAGATTTCGTAATAATATTTAATAATATAAACTTCTACTCCATATAGGACATCCACTGATTTCATAACATGTTTAACATTTTAACATAGCCTTTATTTTTTAAAAACTATTGTAAACTAGTCTTTATTTTTAAAAAATATCGTCGAAGGCAATCATTGTGTCAAGACAAACGCAAAGGCAATGTTTCTTATTTATGAGATTAAGACAAAGGCAATGTTAGAAGAGGCAACCCTTGAAAATTCAAATCAAATCCAAAGACCAAATGCTTTTTGAACTTTTCTAGTTTGTTTGTTAGCATTAACTGTAGTCTTCAGCCACCCATCTAATCTAAAAGCCATTCGATTTCTTTTGACAAGAAGATGCCTTTACAAAAATCCAAAATAATATATAATAAAAATAAAAATCTAACATTAATAGCCAGCTAAGCTTCAAAATTAGGGTTTTAACCTAAATGTGTAATTGTAGAATGATTGAGATATAGATGGAGATTGTACAAAGTGGGGAAGAGCAATAACGGAAGGCTGCTTCTTGCTGTTAATGTTGGTGCTTAGTTGCTTGCTGATTCCTCTAAGGCTGCTAGAGAAACATGAAATTGTGAGGATAAGGAAAAACACGTTTTTTTTTTTTTTTTAAAAAAATTTGAATCAACATATAAAATCCAATCGTTTGAATTTTGATAAACTAAATTTAATCATATCATCTATTGGTTATTGTATTTGTTGATCCAGGCATACTTACTCAATGACTTCTTACATTATTGTTTTTTCCTTTCTACCAAATATGTGAATAAATAAAATAATGCTCCCCATGATGGGAAAAAATCTTAAACTCTTTGATTTTCAGAATTCCTTACCAACAACTTAATGCTTTTTAATAGTCTGTGCTTTTTAAAAAAAAAAAAAAAAAATTCCTGGAGTACAAATTAATATCAGAATTGTAGATTGAAAATTATACAATTTAGAGCCAATTTAGTTTAACCATTCGTGTTAGCAATTGTTGATAGTCAGGAAAGTTTTAGTACAATTGTTGTTAAAATATAAAATAACTATTAAGGACATAATTATTTTTACATATCCTCATGTATTATATATATATTATTTGTTATTTTAATGGTTATATAAATAAAAATATTAATTAAGCTTTTTGTAATAATATTTAACAGTTATTTATTTATTTTTAACAATTATGATGACAAAAAATATTAACTTAAACACAAAATAATTTGAATAGCAATTATTTTCATAAAGTTAATGTAATACAAAAACTGATATAAATACAAATCAACGGTTGCTTGAGAGATAATATCATAATTCTATAAGCTATAATTTGCATTGAGCTTTCAAGTCCGAAATAAGCTATCAGTTAAATCAAACCCCTTAATCAAAATATAATGATAGTTGTCCAGTGAACCTTAACAGACAAGTTTTTAGAAAAAAAATTATATAAACCACTTATTTATTATTAAAAAGATCTTTTAAACCTTTACGCTTTAGGGTTCGACGAGATTAAATCTGGTTAAAAAAAAAAAAAAAAACTTATTCAAAACCCCTTAATTCAAAAAAATATAATGATAGTTGTCCACTGTGAACCCTTAACAGAACAAGGGTTTTAGAAAAAAAAATTAATATAAACACTTAATTTATTATTAAAAAGATCTTTTAAACCTTTACGCTTTAGGGTTCGACGAGATTAAGATTCTGGTTAAAAAAAAAAAAAAAAAAACAGATCTGGGTTAAAAAAAAAAAAAAAAACAGATCTTTTAAAACGATGGAAACGACAAGAGATTCTTTTCCTGATAGGATAAAACTTTTCCCTAGCGTTCAAACTACAGGTATAAAAGGTACTTCTTTCCTTTGTGGACAGAAAATTTTTCGTGTTGTTCCAACTACAGGGAACCTTTTCTCTTTGAAAGGGAGCTTTTCCCTTTGTTTTTTGAATGCCTTGGAATTTCAAGTTTCAACCAACTATTTGCATTTGATACATTACCTGTTAAGAAAAGATGCTTTTACCTTGAAATCAAATAGTCTCTGTCAATAACAGGAAGAGAGTAAAAGACCATTCTACAGAGATACTGACTGTTGTAATAACAGTCCTAAAGAATCCATCTACTATATGACAAGATTTGGAACTTTTCTTTTTTTTTTTTTTAAACCAAATTATGAATTTATGTACCCATCTGCAACTGAAAACAAGAAATGATACATTTGCAATGTACAGGTAAAAGGCAGGGACAGCAGTTATAATAGAGCAGATGCAATCAATAACTTTGTTCAAAAGATATAGATATATATTTACATACACTTTCATAGGAATGTCAAAGTGTAACCTCAAAATCTATCAGTAAACAATCAGGTCAGTTGAACTGGCTATTATTCACTCTAATATCAGAAATGAGGAATATTTCCTATTTCATTCCCACATCTCAATAAGGTGACTTGATGCTTAAATCTGTTTTCAGTTGACTTTTAAAGATAACAGAACATTATCAAAAAGCTTAGACTTATTAGGTGTAGTAACGATGAAACGAGCAACAAACGTAACACCAGACTACCTACCTAATATTTTGTTTCATTTCTCTGTTATTTGCAGCCTTCTCGTAGCATACGCATCTTTTGAGCCAATACAATCATTGAAATCTCAAGAACATCCTTTTAGTCTCAGTAGTAGAAACAATTCAAATTCCAAGACCTTGGCAACGGAGGAGCATTTTCAAACAGTTCATATATTTTACTCGTTGAACACGTGCTGCATGATGCTCTCTATGAAAAGTTCATATCAGACTAGAACCGAAAAGCAAATAATCCAAGTATGTTTCAGGAATGAATTTATTTAGGTTGAGATATTGTTATCAATGGTCCTTCCAAAGCAAAATAGGTTTCTGCATTTTGCAGCATGTTACATAAAGCTAAGTGGTAAAGCAGAGAATATAACACCAGCCATTTGAGCGGAAGATCCCACCAGCACTCAGAAAAGGATTTTATTTTGTTAGACTATTTTCAACCTTGAAAGAGGCACTGATAAAATTGGCAACCAGATATGGAGCTCAATTAGCTTACAACTACTACCTCCGGCGTCCCACATATCTATCAAAATTGAGAGTAAACTTCAGCACAAATTTCACCTGCTGCTGATGAAGCATATTCCTGTATCAGCTTCCTCTATTATTGCATCCCAATTTGGAAACTACTCTTTTATCATTTGTAGTAAGTTTTCTAACTCTATTCCAAAAATAAAAAATAAAAAAAATAAAAAAAATAAAAAATAAAAAATGGAAATACCAGGAAGACCTGGATGAGTCGACTAACGTGGAAGTAGCAAAAATAATCGCTCCTTTTCATGCTTTGATAATAAGCCAAGAAACTTATAAATCCAACATAAAACTTTTTATGCCGGTAACTAAAACATGTTAATGAGTGACATCATGTTCAATGCAGGAATTGCTAGAGCAAACATAGATATATCTGTATTCAATCAAGGCAATTGCTGTAATACCATTTTGACATGTAGAATAAGTAGCTTTACCATCAGCTAAAATCTTAACGTTCAGAGACTTGAAAACCATGACATAGTTCTTTCCATGTAATTTAGCTTTTAAACAGATGATTATGCTGATAAAAAGGAATGACTGCACCATTTTCTAGAATGTTCAAAATTCATGTTTGAATTTACAGTGACAAATATTCATAGTTGATGAACAAGATGGAGCAGTCATCTCAAGATATAAATTATGGCTCAACTTTTGCCAAAATAGATGAGAGATTATAATGATAGATTATCATAAGGTGTGTTTCTTTTGCAGGCACCATGATAGGGTTAAATGCAAGATCAAGAATGCCATCTTTATACCAACTAGGTGAACTGCATGTTCGAATTCTACCTGTACAAAGAATCGAGAAGCAATAGAATTTTTCATGTCAAAACGAGTAATTCATACTATACTATCTCAGAACAAAAACATTAGGATAAGGCAATGCTGTTAGAATCACAGAGACCAAAAATTAGCAAAAACAACTGAAATTTTGAACTTTATTCCATTGAATTTGCAATTTACAAAGACGGTGCAAAATTTACCATTAATTGAGGTCAAATGCACCATTGTTAGCAAGCAGAATATAAGGAATTCCCCTGAAAACAATTACACTTTCATTTCTGCCTCTGCAACAACAAGATTGAATTCTATATGTAAGAATCCAAATAACCCATCTAATCAATGAGAAAAAAAAAAAAAAAAAACGAGACAAAAAAAAAAAAAAAAGAACATCCAATATGAAATTGAGTTATAACCCTCCTCATACTCAGGTACTTCAGGAACCTTCTATTGAGAAAAAAAAAAAAAAAGAACATAAATATGAAATTAGAGATTATCACCTCTCATGACTCAGGTACTTCAGGAACCTTATATGAATCTGGCGTAACTTCTGCTAGCCACAATCCTGGGAAAATTGACTGCAAACAACCAAAGAACAAAATATAAACACCAAACATTCTTAATACAAATTATAAAACATATAAATAGAAATAGCAATCAAGATTTAGTTACTAAGATAAGGAGAAAAAGGAAACAACTTTAAATATTACATGCAATTTTAATTCAACCTCTAAAGCTCCAAAAACTGAATTAAATAAACCACTCCCCAAATAGCAAAACTTCAAATAATCAAAATCCAAAACTTCCTCTACTTTCCCACATGTTCCCAGCAAATATTAAAAAAAAAAATATTAAAGATGGAAAAAAGAAAAGAAAAGAGAAGAAAACCAGAAGTCCTTACGTCCAAATACTTCTGCACAATTCGAGGCCTCTTCTTAGGCCTCCTAGGAGGCCTAATCCTTGCAATCTCCATGAAATCCTGCTCAATCTCTGTCTTTGATAAAGGAACAGAAAACTTGATTCTCTCTTTAACAGGCTCAACACTCTGCCTCTTAACCAAAGAAGTCTCAATTCTATTTGGCGAATCAATCTCCAAAATTCTCTTCGGAGACTCCAAATTCCTCTTGTCTTCTATTCGCAGTGGCGCCTTACACGCAGCCCTTCTGGTTCTCAAATTCCAAGGCCGAGCAGCAGCAGCAGCAGCATCATCATTAATATTAGGAGGTGGTCTCTCTTCTTCAAGAAGAGGAGAAACCTTCAATCTTTTAGCAGCAGCACCTCCATTGAGTCTAAGATCAGATGAAATGTGATTTTGTTGAATTAAATTAGGGTTGTGATTGTTCGAAGAGTCAAAATTGGTGGGTTTGGATTGAAATCCAAATCCATTTGGAATCGAAGAAGAAGAAGATCGATGATCATCACTGACTTTGACACACCTAAGGACTCTTTGTTGTCCCCATTTCAAGAAAGGCAAAGAGAAGTTGTGTAGTGGCTTTGATCTCTCTTGTTGCTGTGGTTGTTGTTGAGGCGTAGGAGGTGGCATCGCCATTGTTGTCTGTGTGTAGAGTCCTCTATTTGTGTAGCTTCTCTATTTGATAATCATGTAAAATTTTGATTTTTATGGTTGGGTTTGTTTCAATGGAGGTTAGATTTTGAGAATGTATGGAAGATTTTGCTCAGATTGAGAAACAGAGAAGGAATTTTGGCTTTTGGGTTGTAATGCGATGATCATAATCGCCGGGAAATTTATATTTATATTTATATATTTCCTTTATGAATATGAACTAAGAGAGAGAAAGCGGTTTTAACGTTCGGGTAGAAAGACTTTAGGTAAGTTGCTGTTTCCAAGTAAATTATTGCTATTTCCAGATTTATAGAGATTAGAGAATTTTTCAATGTTTTTAGTGTTTTCTTTATTTTTATTCTTTTGCTACTAAGAAAATTAGGGGTTTTTCTTTTCCTATTATTTATATAATAATTTAATTTCCAATAAAAAAATAGTGGCTCCATGGTTAATATTTAAAATTAAAATCTTAAGCATATAATTATATTTAATATTTTTATGCTAGCATTAAGCTTAATATTAGTAGTTTATATTTCAATATCCAATCTCACTTTTTTTTTTAAGTATTCTTACTCTCAATTCTTTTCTTCCTTTTTTTAACCCACAAAATTGGTTTAGAGTATTAAATTTTCATAAAGTAAATTTCAATTTGATGTATAATTTAAGCTAGATAGTTAAGTATTATGTAAAATGTAAGGTTAAAAAGTTTTGGCATGTCCCAATATTTATATAAAATAAATAGTTTTTAAAATGAAAACTATAATATTTTTAATACATAAAAATTAAATGATTTATATAATGGGGCATAACTCTTAATTTTTTATCAATCCTTCGTATGAACTAAAATCTGAGAATTTGAGCTTGATTTTTTATGCGAGAATTTGAGGATCAAAGTGTGCCTATTTCTTTCTTTCTTTTTTGAGAATAGTTGTAATGCCATATTTAATTAAAAAAATAATACGACTTATGAAAAATATCATTTTTTTTAACATAGTACTACAAATAAATTAATATGAAATTCATTTTATTTGCAAATGGATCTCATTAAAAAATAATTTGCAAAATTAATTTATGTATTTAAATCCATGAATCAGAAATTTTATTCTAAAGATATAACTTTACTAGCCTATATTGGAATGGAAATTCATTAGTTTTTAATAATTCGTACTAGCAAGTGCTACGGATATCCAAAAATATTCTTAAATAGGTTTTAAGAGAATTTTATCAAATATTTTAATATTATTTAGATGGTTGACCTTTGTCTTTTATTAAACTAAATAGGTAAAATTCCTAGATAATATGAAAATTAACAACTAATCACAATGTCGATTACGTGTACATAGTGACTTGTAAGGATAAGCTTTTTCCCATAGTCCTGGTAGGCAAAATTAATCGTTATATAGCGTTTAGTTTAACTATTTGAATATTTTTTATAAAATGCTGAAAAATTAAATGTTACTTAAGATAATTTTTTTATAAAAATTATTTCAAACGTTATGTTATTGAATACAGCTGATGCCGAACACGACTGCAGTGTTATATGAAAATCTGAACTATTAGGAGGACATTTCGTTTCATACCCAATGATTAATTTGTAAATGTCTGGTATATTTTTTTAATCAGCAGTTAACAGTTATTAATTTCATCAGCTACATTTTGAAGTTTTTTCATGTCAATTGTTAGCTGATTTCAATAAAATATGTACCAATACAATTTTCAAATTAATATTTTTTATAATCATTTTCTTTATAGTTATTTAATAATAATATTTTTATTAAATATTATTTAAAAAAATTAATTAATATTTTTATTCATAAAATATATCAGAATAAAAAATAATATATAATATATATTTACAAAATAAGAAATATATACATTGTACATCATAAGGGATAAAAAAAAAATTATATTATCAAGAAAAATAATTACATTATTAAGAAAACAATGGTTTGCTCGTAATAAGCTGATTTGGAACGGAAAGAATTCAAGTCCGACTGTTGTTGTGAATGAATGGAATGTTTCTCAGCAGCCTGCCTCTGCTGCAGTTCGTATATCAACCGCTGCGGATATTTCTTAGCTTCTTGGACAGCTCCAACAAATCCAAGAGTTAAATGCAACATTGGTGCTGCGTTTGACGTGACAATAGGTAGGGCGAGGCTGGGTCGGACTGTTAGAGGCATGGATGGAGGTTTTTAGATGGTAAAATAGTTCTGGTTCCCTCTACTGTTGATGCCTTGACTGCAGAAACTTTAAGACACAGTTCCTTGCACCTTGTTTTTGCTAGAGGTTGATTGCTTATCTTTACTTCAAGCATTAAGAGGTAACAAACATTTGTATTCTTTCATTATGTCAAAAAGCTTTAGCTAGGGCTGCTTTTTCTTTATCTGATTCTGTAAGTGGAGTTTGTCTCCTCCTTTTATTATTTTGGATATACTCCTTTACTATGCTAATAACATGACTACACTTACCTTCCAAAAAATAAAGAGAATAAATAAAAATATAATTATGTAATTCTTATGTTTTATTTTATTATTTTTATTTGTTTTTGAGGAATACTTGCTTGTGTTATTAAATATAATAATTGTCATTTTTATGAATAATTTAAATTCTTAATAATTTGAAATTTTGAATTCACTTATGAAATATAACTTTTATTCATATCAAATATAAATAATATAAAATTCCAAATAAATACTACAAAATTCTATAGAATTCACTCGTACCAAATAAAGATGTAGCACCAACAGTACCTAAAAATTAAAATGATAAATCATTGGATAAAAGGATCATATAGGAAAAAATAAATAAGATTCTTACTTTCATAAACTGTAGAAATTAAAAAAGAATTGCAGCATCTGATAAGTACACGCTAGTGAAGTAATAACTTCAGCAACACAATGACGACTTGAAATTTTGAATCTTATCACCTGTTCATGTATATATCATGTATGATCTACGATTTCACTGGCAATTAGATCACTAATTAGAAAAATATTGACAGTAATAATAGTTCATAAGCCGGGTCCTCTTCGACATGAAAAGACGTACTTTACACAGAACATTTTCTATTCTATACATAATGAAGTAAATCAGAACCAAAAGATCTCCTAATTTTGCTCATCTACACCAACTGAGGAACTCAAGCAAGAGAAAATCATCCTAAAGAGTTTCTATAAGGGTGATGAATTTTTGGTGCAAGAAACAAAAAATGACAAGAAATCACCTCTCCTTCAAGAGGGAAAATTGATCGGATTGACAAAGTATATACAGCCTAATACCTATAACTCATCAAAATGTGAGTCTCATTAAGGTGGAGCAGAGTTGGGCTTTACTGTCTCACTCTTGATCACCCGAGTGTTGTACGAACCACAAACTCCACACTTGTGATATAACCAGTGGAAACGTGCAGTGCCCTTTCGATCACAATCATTACATAATATATCCTGCATTATTTAGATGAATATTAGACTCATTTGATACCTAAGTGTAATCATCTGGATTAGAAGTTTGCACTATTGATAATACCATTCAATAATTATACTGGCTTCAACATTTCTTGTATACAACGGACCACATGATGTGAATGTGCAGTGAGTGCATTTCAGTAGGGCTGTAAATGCTTGTATACAACGGACCACATGATGTGAATGTGCAGTGAGTGCATTTCAGTAGGGCTGTAAATGAGTCAGGCCAACAAGTTGAGCTCAAGCTTTTTTATTGAGCTCTTTTAACAAACGAGCCGAGCTCAAGCTTGTATACAACGGACCACATGATGTGAATGTGCAGTGAGTGCATTTCAGTAGGGCTGTAAATGAGTCAGGCCAACAAGTTGAGCTCAAGCTTTTTTATTGAGCTCTTTTAACAAACGAGCCGAGCTCAAGCTTGTATACAACGGACCACATGATGTGAATGTGCAGTGAGTGCATTTCAGTAGGGCTGTAAATGAGTCGGGCCAACAAGTTGAGCTCAAGCTTTTTTTATTGAGCTCTTTTAACAGACGAGCCGAGTTCGAGCTTAGCTCCAGCTTACAAGCCAAGTTTAAGTAAACCAATATCAAAACTATGCAGTTCTGACATAGGGTTCAATTTCACCCTAAATGCATAACTTTCTCTTTTGCCTCTTGCCTTCTCGCTCAGTCATTCCAAAGGGCAAATGTGAAAATGGCAATCAACAAAATTGGTTTTCAAACTCTAATTAGACTAATCTAAAAAGGGGATGCATGGAAATGCATGTGGGAAAGACTTCAGAACAAATATCCGCCCATCTCCTCTCTATATTTTTATAGCAGACAAGAACTTTGCTGGAAACTCAATCATCTTAAGTTTTAAGAGTATTGATCGATAACCTCTAAGCAAAGTGTTAGGCTTGCTTAAGAAATAACCAAAAGCTGAAACATGAATGAGTTTGGTTAAATTATAGTTCATCAACTCATTTAAAGCATATACGCAAGCTTAGGCCTTCAAAAAATTGGCCTACCATATTGTAGGATCACCAGCTAAACGTCTCATTTACACCCCCTATTGGGCTAAGTTTAAATTGAGAGCTTACCAAGCAATGAATGGAAAGTTCTAATAAACAAAGCCTACGAAACTCACTATCCTTCATTTCCTTCACTTATTTTATTTTTCCACAATTTGCTTCTTTTATGGGTCAGTAAAAATTTGTAATTCATTAACCTTGGTATCGAGTGCATCTTAGTGGCAAAGAACCAATCGAACTAAACTCCCTCTTCATGTGATTATTTCAGCAGAAATAAGCACACAGTATTTTCACTTTCACTTGAGAACTAATTACAAGAGACAATAATATTACCTGACAATGATCCCTATAGTCCTCTGGAAGCTCCTCAGCAGCCAGCAATGCATCAAGCATGCCAAAGTAAACCTGAGTTGATTAACAAATAACAATAAGGACAAAATAATACCTCTTACCTCATGAATATGCAGCCAAGCAAACTGACAAAAATAAGACAGCAGACAATTTAATCAAGGGCTGCTGGTATCTTTACCAACTTACTCTTTTAAATTCAACAAAACCAAATAGGAGAACATCATATCCAATTTTAATCTGGCTCGTCAATGTTATAGGTATCCATGGGAAACTTGCAAATAAAAAAAAAATAGTAACAGAAGGTTTTCTTACCGCCATATCTCCTAATGATTTACTGCATATTGGGCAGATGTAGTGACTGCAAGTGTATGCCTATTAAAGAAAACGTGGTGTGAGAAATTTCAACCAGTCTGACGCATCCAAGGGAAGTTAAGAAATAAAGTAAAAGAGACAGACTGGAAGTGGAAGGTTTAAGAGACAGAAACCTGAAAGCAAGCTGAATGCATGTAATGGCCACAAGGCAAAGCTCTGACAGTTGCACTTGATGTGAACAAAAAATCACAGCAGATGGGACAGTTTGTCTCTAAACCTTTTTCCAGACACTTGTGATTCACCAACTTAATCCCCAAGCAACAGTTGCATGTCATGCAATGGAAGTAATCAATCCCAAGACCCTTCCCAACACGACATAAATTGCAAAAAGGGCAATGATATACTCTCCTGAAGTGGCCATGCACAAATGTTAAGAAAAATGTCTGTATGCATTCATAATAAGAGCAAAATCAAGTTCACAGTGTGTAAAACCAGTTGTTAGTCAAAATTGAACTGTACCTTTCATCATCAAAAAACTTGCATATATTGCAATAATATTTTGCCATCAGAAGTCCATTACACGCAGGTGTCGTGCAGATCGGGCCAACTGCCTGAATCTTCAGACAACGCATGCACATCATTTCTGAGGTTGCTTTTCTGCAGTGGATCAGCAAAACATCATGCATTCAGAAGCTTCAGTCAAAATATGAAATTTAATCAATAATTTCAAACATTACCTATCCATCGAGTGATCGCTTACTTTGTCATGGCAAAATCTACAAGTAAACAATTTGCCACAACAAGCAGCACGAAGTTTACAGTTCCGCTTGTAGTGCTCACACCCAAATATCTGCTTTTCCTGATCTCGAAATGATGGTGAACATCCCATTATGTCACCACCATTAGAGGTTTCACCTGAGATTCCTTGAGGTAACTTCTGCTGCGCAGCTATCCAGCGACTAAAACAAACCAGCTACTTAAAGGTTAATTTAGGACAAACAACAACAACAACAACAACAACAAAATATAACGACAGCTAACATCAATGCATTTCACTAATTTTTTGAAGGGAATAAAGATAAAAAGGGAAAAAGCATATTACAGTTATCAGAACTAACCTAGTCAAAAGATTTTGAACAAGATATGATTTTCTCCTTGGATCAAGAGTTGCATCCTTGTAAACCTTTCTAATCTCAGATTCAAGCTCATTTTGATTCATGCGGAAGATATCCTTCCACCCAGGCTTAAACATCTGATCACTTTGCTCCAAGCTCTCTTGAAACTCTTTGTCTGCAACAAGCAAGGCTGAACTGAGTAGAAAATTTGCATTTCTAGGTAAATGACCTTCATAAAACTATCCAATGCTGCATGACACTGCACAAGGATGCTAGCAACACAAAAACTAGAGACATTGAACAAACCTTCTCTAGGAATCCTAGCTTCTGATGTTTCAGCCTGCAAAGATAATTCTGCAGGTCCTTTCCAGCATTCATTAAGCCACTCGCTGAACATTGTGTTTTTGGTTGCCTGCTTCCATGTATCCATCATTTTGTTCTGCTCGTCCTGAGTAAGAGCAGAAGTTACCCAAGGTAACATAGATTGCAGAACTTCAGCACCAGTAGTGCCAATAATGCGGCCAACTATTTTGTCTTGCTCCTGAACCGAAAAATGCTTTCCAAACAATGGCCATAACTCAACTTCTTCTCTCAAAATATGGTGATCAAGAGTAACTCTTATAGATTTGCACATCCCTTGCAGCTTAGTGGCTAGCTCACCATACTTTGCCACACAATCATCAATACCGTCATGGGCAACAGAAAGTTCCACATTGCTTCTCACTGAATCCTCCATCATGCGGGCTTTTTGCAAGATTTCATGAAGGCTGGAAAGCTCAGAAAGAACATATGAAATATCTTCAAATAATTTTTCCTCCTGCTTATGGTCCAGTGTGTATGAATGACTCACATTATGAAGTGCCTCTTTGGACTCCAGAGCTGGAAAAACAATATCATCCTCAGCATTACTATGAGCCCTGTATAAGCCCCATAATAAACGGAATCTTCCAACAAACTGCTGAAGAATTGTCTCATCACAATCACTGAGCTTTCCAGATTCCACATCTAGATACTCCAAATCTTTGCTTATGGCTTTATGAAACTTAAATATTGTATCAATTGGTCGTTCTGCACGGCCAATATCAAAGGAGCTATTATCCGCTTCCCAAGAAAAAAGACTGGAGTTAAGAGCTGGAGCAGAGGAGCTGAAAGACAAGGACCGCAAAGATTTGGCAGTTGAAAGAGAATTCAAACCAAGGTTGTTGCTGTTCACTCCTAAACCTGGTACACAACAAGATCGATCGGCACAAGATGGTGTATGGGAACTTAGAGTTCTTGAGAGGTCCGGGGCATTGCTATTTTTGCATGATAACGGAATGTTTCTTTTGACGGGCCTTTTGTTGTCATCTTCACAAACTGATACAACGCAATCCTTAGAACAAAATGCAGAAGTACATGCACAGCATGATCTAACAATATCTTCTTCAATATCAGTGAAGTTTTTAGCAGAAAAACAACCAATTGCACTCGACAAACATGCACCCCGGCTACGACCCTTGCAAGCCCAGCCAGTAAAAAGTGTAATCAAAGCAGTATCCGTCAATGGAGCTGAATCAGAATAATCAAAAATGTGAGCAGAGACATATAACCATATGACTTCATTAAATAGAATTAATCTCATAAGAAGTAGCTATACAGTACAAAACCTGCTGACTGCATGTTTATGAGAAAATTTTTTGCTTCATCTTCAGTTAGAAACCCCACCAACCATGGCAAGACACGCTCAATCAATTTCAAAGGCATCACACACAAGCTTTGGTATAAAAGTTCCTGCTGCCTCTTGAAGCTAAAGTGCTTTCGAGCTAGTGGAAGAACCTAAACATGCAAGGAATCTAGTCATGTCACATATATTAAACTCCTTCGAGAAGAATGTATAGTTTCTATAACCAGCTTTACATTTGAAATTGGAGCAGACAAGCAAAGTTGTACTTGTTCACTATTAAATTAAATTAGGCATAATTTCACATTCTTCGGACTACCAAACATCCCCAGCAGGATTTATCACATAACTAAGGAACGCTCACCTGTATTTCCTCATTATAGAAGTGTCTTTGTATGGTATCTATTATTTGATCAGCTTGGGAGCATAATTTTGCATAAAACTCAGCTGCTGAATTAGAATTTGCACCTGCCCTTTGAATACTTTCAATCAAACGCCTAATCTCATCAAATTGACTTTCTTCTTCTGCATGCTCTTGAAAGAAAGAGAATTCTCCATCTACTGCAGGAAATATGACTTTGTCCTCAGCGATACTGTAGCCAAGAAAACACAAATCTTTCAGATTGGATATCTTACAGACTGCTCCATGCACTGTATAATTAGCAATGCTGGATGGCAACATAAACTTTTGTCCCAAACAAAGCCCATGGAAAAGAACAGTCAATTATTTCCTTCCACCTTTGATCAGTTTATCTATTAAGGTACCAAATCATTGAATCTTCTCCACAATACTCAACACCGTCATTGAAGAAACAAACATAAGAAAAACACAAATAAATAAAGGTGGAAAAAATTATGGGCATCAATACAATGTAAATGTCTACATCATGTAACAACTGCATGTGCCACTTCAACAATGTTAAGAGAAGAATAAGCTTCCTTCTGCATATTGATGACAAAACAATTTTTAGGGCAATATATATCTTTTTCTCCACATTTACAACTAAGCATCTCACAAATATGAAAAATACCATGAAAGACTACTTCATAAAACGAGAAAAGGCTAAACCAAGTAATTCTGTGAAAAATGAAGAGTAAATATCTATTTGCAAAGTCTAACAACAGAAAGGACACACCTGTGGAAGATGCAAACTTCAGCAATGAATTGCAACCGATCATCAAAGGCTGATAAATTCATAAAATCTCCAGAAAGTTGAATCTTTCTAGCTTCTTCAGCGATTTCATTCAATTCTTGTTTAATAGCATTATGCCAAAGCATTATTTCGTTTATCGGGTGTGTTCCAGTAGTATCTGAAGCATCATTACTTGATTCCAGATATTTCCTTTTCCCAATTTTATGTTCGTCACATGTACCCATCACATCACCCAATTCAGAATTCATTGCACTAATAGTATAATTTACACAATATTGATCCTGATGATTATCTGTGCAGCTTCCAACTTCCTTCGCACCATTTCTCCCTCTTATCCAGGTAAAGACAACCTTCCCAAGAAAAACGCTTTTGATCAGCTATGAACATTCAGCAAAATAACCCAAGAAGAAATAAATGCTAAATGAAAAATAAATCCTTTACCTGCTGAAGAAGCTTCTCTTCTGGGATTATCTTGCTTAAGCACTTCTGCATATCCTGGGATTCAATGGGTGAAATAGAAGATGCTAACCATGGCATGAGTTCTGACATAATGTTCACAGGAATGCTGCAAACAAACTGCCAGATTAGAGATGCCTGCTCTTCGAGAGAAAACTTCTCAATAAGCAAAGGAAAGACCTGACATAATAAAGAGAAAACCTATTACAATCTTTATGTTTTTCAGAAAAAACAAAATCAACACTCCAAACGTTACCAGTATTTTGGATTCAATACTACTGCATTTGCCATGATTCATGAACAATTGTGGTGAAAATGCATAAACAGACCCATCCGACCACTATGATGATGCTTTACTATTACTAGATGGCATTTTTTTCCGATTGATAAATTATAGGTCAAGGAGAAAATGTATAAGTTACATCAACCAGTGGCACCACTCTTTTCAAATAATCAAGGAACAGAGAGGGCTTAGATTCAGATTTTGCCAAGCAGAAAATCACCATAAGCATCACATAGATCGTCACGATGACAACAGTGTAGCACAATACAAAGGATGACGCACCAGGAGTTCCTGATAAACAGGAAATGCACATAATGAGAAATTGTTTGATATAAGTATTAGATGTATTTTCCTATCCATATATCCAATTTCGTCTTCTCTTTTTTGTCCTTTGCACTCATAGCCTTGGATTTCATTCCAGAAGGCCATAGTTGCAGTGCCAGTGCCACAGAGGTGGATTGCCACTGTACTGTGTCTGGGTACAACTACAGCTAGTCGACATTGTTTTCTGTTTTAAAGGGTTATTGAAGTGAATCTAGAGCACAAAAACTCCATGAATTTAGGTCAAATTATATAGTGCTAAAGTTTCTACTCAAATTTTGACAATTATTTTAGTGGGTATTAAATCAAAAGTCATATCCTACTCTTTATCATTTTGCTTCCCAACAGATTATGCAAGCAAGGCCTGCCTAACGGAAAAAGTAAGCTAAAAATTTCAGAAGAAGAACAAAAATAAAAAAATAAAACAGTAAAAATCCACTGGACATTGTACAGTCATTTTTTTTTTTTAATTTAATCCATAGAACAAACCTGAAAAGCTGTTGTCCAAGCTGTTATTGTTATGAAGGAAGAGATCTCCAGTTCCTTTATTCAGGTATGTTGTATCCTTGACAAAATTGTGCTCTCAATTTAAAAGAAAATATCCCACAGTGAGTGAAGGTCAACTGTCTCTTCTATACAACATTGTATTATGGTTTAATGAATCAACTAAAAACAGAAGTTTGAAGCCTATCGCCAATGGGTATTTAGATTACACTTTTGACACAGTCATCCCATATTTGGTGCAGTAGGAATGGAACTACTTTAGCCTCATAAAATCTTTTTGATTCACAGGCATCTGACAGGATGAATAATCTTGTGGACAGAATTTTAACATTTGATTCTTATGAAAAGATAACAACTTTAAAATTTTATTCACATTGAATCATCATCAAGCAACCACACTGACCAACTTTTTCCTTACTTTCGCAAGGACCACAAAAAATCTTGTTCAACTTTGAACTAACATATAAGTAGATAATGCTCAAAGCATCCCAACGAATGAGAGTAGCAAGGAGAGGACAGTGGGGAGGAGAAAGGGACTTGAAAAAAATAGAAAACATGTGGAAAATTATATAAGAAAAGGACCAAACAATCACATTTAACAACATTATCAAGACTCAGACTCTGTCCTGCTTCTGTATTTGTGTTAGTAATTTTTTTTTTAAAAAAGAAAAAAGAAAAATCTCATGCAAGTTGCATCAATCCATGTAGTATCATATCCCAGTTTCCTATAGGAGATATTGCACATGCATGTGGAAAACGAAAATATTATGAGGAGTTCCTTGAAGTAATACACAAAATAAAGAATACTAATAACACCTTACCTGTTCCTCTTCCTTTGCCATGTGCTGACTGAGTGACGTCTGAAGGGCACCTGTGCAAGATGCTAATTCCCTTGGGAAACTTTCATCATCTTGCGTATAAGAATTTAGCAGCTCAAATAATTGATCGAACAGACTGCTTTCACCTTTGTGTTCAAGTGAGTATGTTTGTGCCACATTCTTCACACGTATGTCAAGAGCTGGAAAAATAACCTGCATTTCCAAAATATTGTGCCATCAGGTATGGCAGAATATATGGATGAAAAAAAAAAGTTTCAGTTACTTCCCGAGGGTCAAGATGGAAATAACATAGATCCATTAGATGCAAAATGGTAAGTTTCGTGCACCGGATTTTAAATATTATTGCAATGTTAAATCCCAAAAAATAAATTTCATATTTTATATTTTACAAACAACATAACTCGTATCTTTTCTATTAAAAAAACATGATACAAATGCTTAACAAAATAACCATTTTACATAAGCATATTATCACTAAACAAAATTTTAAGATGTTTTGCATTTTCTAATAATTAGTTGAACGTAAAATAATGAGATTGGAAACATTTTGTTTAACTGCTAGAACTAGTTTCCTAACAGGTTATTAATTATCTATAAACAACACAAAAGCAAGCACAGTAGAAAACTTCAAACAGAGAACTTCCAAAAGTGAATCGCCTCAACAAGAAAACGATTACCATTCCCACCAGAAACAAACTAGATATGGGATAATTTCCCAAGCTTAACAAAATATTACAAGCACTTCCTATCTGATTCAAAGATTTCAAAGTTTTTAGATTTAGTATATCCCACACAATTTTTGAAACTTTTGGACTCGCAGCAAAAGTACCAAACGGTGTGGGTCCCAAAAACAACTACTTAAGCCTAATAACAATGTCAAAAAAAAAAAAAAAAAAAAAACCAATGTCAAAAAAAAAAAAAAAAAAATACAAAAAAAAAAAAAAAAAAAAATACACAACAGTTTGTTTTCAAAAGAAAATTATCATCCCTTCCTCTTGACAATTCACAAAGCAGTTGACCGTATGTGTAGAATTAAAAGCGAAAACTGAAATAATTAATTATTTCTCTAAAATTCTAGCAACTGTTCTAATAATTCGACTCCGAACCTAAAATTCTTCAAAATTACGTGTTAACATCTCAATACATCATCAAACATGCCACTGAATAGCTAAAACGAGCCAAAAAGGACAGAGAAAAAGCAGAATTTTAAATAGGCACCTCGTCTTCGGCATTGCAGTGGTGCTTATAAATCAATCTGAGAAACCGGTATCGTTCGAAGAGAGACTCAACATCAACAGTCTGTCCAGTAGCAAAAGCCATGGCTAGTCGGTGAAGCGAATCAAGCTCATTACGTATAGCCTTGTGGAAGTAAAGGAATATCAGAATCGGTGATTTCTGCTCGTTACTCTCTAAACAACCTTTCGCCTCAACGTTCTTGACCGCGCTTGACAGTATCATACCTTCCCCTCTCTGCAATTCCGGTAACGGCGTGGCCATTTCTCTTTCTCTATCTAGCTTTTTGTTTTTGACCTGAATTGTATCGTCAAAAGTCTTCCCTTCTCTGAGACAGAAATTTATTTCGGATTTTAATTTTAAAGGATATATTTCAGTTTTGTTCAACGGAGAGGGAGGTTGGTTTGTGTTTTTTTAAGTTTTTGGTTGTGAACTAACTTTTAAGGATTTGATAAGGAAGAAAGGGGTTTATATAGTTGGATAAAGACAGGTGGCAAGCTGACAAGGCAAATGGTGATGTAAGCTGCCCGGCACGTGAGGAAGAGAGGTCTTGAAGATTCAAGCATTCTTGTGGCCATGCAACTGCACACGCTAATATTCTTAAAGACTTGCCTATCCTACTAGGCTCCGTTTGTTGAAATGTAACAAATTTGTAATCTAATATAACCAAATATTATTCCATTTTAGAAAAAACGTATGAAATTGGAGCTATAAATAAATCAAGTCTATGAGCGGTTAGAAATTCGACTGAATAATTTTCATTCTTAATAAAGAATTAAGAGACAATCATTCATAACAATTCATATTAAATAATGATAATATAAGAAAATTATTAATAAATTAATTGTACTTTTAAAAATAAAAGTAACCTATAATACAAAACAAATAAAAAAATAAAATCAGACCCATTTTATTGGACAGAGAAATATTAATTTCAACCCCAATTTATGTCTAAATTAAAAGAGAATGAAATTTAAAAACAATCAAAAAAATTAGAAAAAAAAAAAGAAAAATTTGAAATTTTCAAAATATAAAATAATAGAATACTAAAAGAGAGAGCTAAATTTTAAACTTTCTTGTTGTTTTAGTTTAGAAATAGCTAGATGCTAATTTCAGTTCACTAAATTGGTGATTTGAAATTTTTAAAATATTGAATTTAGACTAGCTCTTAAGCTGTTGTTTTCGAAATGATTTTGGTTTCGATGCAATTTCAATATACTAATAATTCAAGTCATGCTTCTTCTTGCAATATATGTATTATTTTTTTTCAAAAGATAATGAAATTTTAGTTTTTGTGTTTCTGAGACCCCAATTTTTTGTGACTTGAGAAAAACCCTTTTGTAACTATGATCTTTTGTTCAATTAAAAACGTGCATTAATCCTACAAAATCAATGTGGATTAGAGACTGGGTTTTTAGTTTAAACAATCAATCAATTATCCTTAATATTAATATTTTTATCAAATGAAGAGAGATATGAGATAAAGTAGATAGCATGCATGGTTATAAAGCAAAATAGAGAAAAACGATAAATAAAGCAATAAAATAAACAAAAAAGACTAAAGCAGTATTGCCTCTAGCCCATTTTGAAGATGTTAGGGTAATCACACATCTATTTTACAAAGTAAGTAAAATAAATAAAAGAAGAAAAGGAAAAAATAAAGCTTTTTTGGTGATTTGGTTCACAACTCGAGTTCATAATCTAGCTTGTATGTTTATCTCTCAAATGAGAATTAGAACTAAATAATTATACCCTATTACAAAATGGGAGTTGGCTGATTTTAATTGAGAAAGATTCATTTTATCTCTTAAGTTATTATATTTTAAGGCTTTTGTCGCCAAATTAATGAAAAGAGAAAGAAAAAAGATAGATATAAAATAAAAGACTTAAGTAAAGAGAAAAGGACTTGGAGATCGTACCTTAACCTTTTGGTAAGTTTCATGTTGCAACTTGGCTTGGCTCCTCCTCCTTAGCTTGATTGGCAAGTTGAGAACCTTTTCATCTCAGAGCTTCAACTTGAAAGGAGTTTAAGTTTCAAAGAGAAATCTAAACTATGGGAGCTTGCAGGTTTAGATGACCAAAAGGCTCTAAACCCTCGAAAAGATCTTCTGATGATGTTTAAAAATGACCAAAGAAGTGTCAAACCAAAGGTGACGAAAATATTTAAACTATAGAGGAATTCCTCACAAAGAAAACCTCCAAAAAGAAAACAAATTAAGGAAAAAACGATTTTTCCACTTATAATATTCAAAAGAGTAGAAGATAAGAAGAGAGCTAGAAAGCTAAAGGAATGTTTCAACTAACGCTTTTAGCATATAGATCGCAGTTATTAATTGTGTTGAGTTTTGGAGTGAAAATGAAAGCTCAATATATAGGAAAATGAGGAAAAGGGATTTGGAATGTTTCTTGATGTGGAAATCAATATGTTGACTACCATTAGCCTACTCCGTTATTTTTCCAGAGCATTGGTAGTCAATCGCTAGTCCTAAACAGCCACTGTTATCCCGTGCAGTCACCATAATAGTATACTGACGATTTTTTGATTTGAGCATTCCATGGCTCATTTCAATTATGATTTTGTCTTACAATATACGGTTGGAAATCTCTCGTCGTCTGGTTTCCATAACTACTAAGTTTACACAAAAATTCAACTTATGGTAAGAGTTATGACTAAAGGGTGGTAAAGATCGTACTTGGCTTCTAGATTAACCTCCGGTTTTCGATCGATTTAGACCATACTTCTTGTAATTGCTTCGCCACAATTTAAGGGTATAAAAAATACAAATTCACACTTAGGCCTCGAAATATATTTTTTGATTTAAGTTTAATTTGAAAATTTTAAAAATAAAATTATGAGTATACAAAAATGAACTTTCAATATTTTATGATACAATAAGTATTAATTTTTAAACTTAATAAATAGTAAATAGTCCAATTAAAATATAGAAAAAGAAAGAAAGAACTCATAATTCCAAAAAAATAAAAAAAAATAGAGTACTAAACAAAAAAGAGAGTAAAATTTTAATTCTTTTTCGACTTTAATATATATATAGATAGAAATGTAGAAATAAATATATAGAAAGATATTGAATATATAAATATAGATATAAAGACATGGATTATAATTGCTTTTCAAACTTAAATAAATATCTCAAAATAATGTAATAATTAAACTTTTAGATTTATCAATCATTCTTTTAGAAATTATTTTAACTAAGAATTTTTTTTTTTTGATAATTTTAAGATGTATTAATTAATTATTTTCAATTTTGTCCTTATCTCTATTAAATATAATAACTAGTTTCTGAAATTTGGTGAAATTTATTAAAATTAGAGTAATTACGTGCATAAAGAATAATTGATTCCTTAATCATCATGTAAAATTTAATTAATTTATTAATCATCACATAGAAAATCATTAAACAATAAATACAAGCAGTTTGAGGGAGTACATTTTAGAAAAACTAATTATTTTTTATCTATAATTTAAATTCTTTGCATGATAATTAAAAAAAGTTATTAAAACTTGTAGTTTATCACAAAATATTTTTTAATTTTAAAATTTTTATTGACTCCGTAATTTTTTTTTTTTTTGCTAAATTCGCCATACTACAATTTATTGTGTACTATTTAAAAATATTGATATTTCTCTATAAATTTAATCCTAAAACAATGTTAAAAATTCTAACTATATGAAATATGTTACAAGATCAAACTTCACAAACTATGAAAAAATAAAGTGAGTTAAAATAGGATTAGACATTGTTGAGAGAAATTTGGTAGCAATGATTGTGGTGGGTTAGTAAATGTCAAATCAGCAAAACTTTCAGATATTTTGTATTTTTTTTATGAAAAAAATCTTTAATTATTCACACGTTTGTTGTATTGAAATCTTTAATTACTTAAAAAAAAAGTTATAAGGTTTTTAAATTTGATATGTGAATAATTATTTTTTTATATTATAATAAAAAATATAATATAATTTTTATTGATTAAATTTTTAATATATATAACATTATTTTTCTGTTGTTGTACCTAATGCAGCTAGCATGAAAGTTGAAATTTATGAAATAAAAATGGTGTTGAAAGTCAAATAATTAGGAGGGCGCAAGAGATCCGCGTGCGTGGAGCGTGCAGTGGATTGGCTGCCACTCGACAAACTCGCGCCTTCACAAGCGCATTTTCTTCGATGTGGCATAGGTATTACTGTTATGTATTACAATACATGGAAAATTAATTCCTACGCTACCAAACCCAAATGCATTTGTATTTACAAAATTTTTAATTTAATTTATAATTAAATAAAAATAATCAAGAATTGATATTTCAGCTATCAATAACTAAAAAAAGGTCAATATATTTAATTAATTTTTTCAAGTATATAAAAAACGAAAAGTCCCAAATTTATACCTTTTCAAATATAAAAATTTTTATCTATTCAGTGTTGTATAATTAACATTGTTGCATTGTTACATTGGATTGGATGTTTCAAATTATAATTAAAAAAGAAAAAAGAAATCATTAACCTTTACAACTTTATCAGGCCACCTGTCATCTCCTAGGTTGAAGAGATTGTCACTTTTTTTTTTTTTTTTTTTTTTTTTTTTTTTTTTTTTTTTTTTTTTGTTAACAAAGAGATTTTGACGTTAACATGCCTAAATTTGATCTACAAATTAATTTATTATTGTCATGTTGCGAAGTTGTCATTATCATCTTGTCAAGTTCCTCCTTTTATAGTTCAAATCAATGGCCTTTTTCTTTTTTTTTTTAATTATTTATCTAAATAGTCTGGGACAGACATTACTGTGTTCCAATTTTATAATTTTGCAAAGCAGGTCTTTATGAAGTCTAATAAATTTCAGTAGTCTTGGCTGTTGTTTATGGAAAATCATTGTTTTATGAAAAATTATTTAAATAATATTTTTTATATTTAGTATAGCATTAGAACAAATTAATATACGTGATCAGCATTAGAGTTAAAGTTTGAAATTTATAATTATGACTGCTGTGGAACTTTATAGTTTTTTTTTTTTTTTTAAGTTGGACCAACTTTTGTATTATAAGATAATTTACTTGAATATATTAGAATTTCAATGATTATCTCAAAATAAAGCTCCTAACAAAGAATTTAGAAATTAATGGTATAAATGAATTGAACGTGTGGATTTTATTTCAAATGAATTTTCGATTTATAAATAAATTTTTCATATTTGGAATAAATTTAAAACTCAAAATTTATTTACTTTTATATTTTAAAATACTATTGACATAATGATTTTAGAAGATTAGTAATATTAATAGTTTGTCACAAGACTTTGAATTGTTTAAGTTTGTGGAATTCATTTAGAAATTATATTCAAATTCATAGAATTAAATACGTTACATTTAAATCTTCATTTTTTTTACATACCAAACACAAAAATTTAGATTTATAAATAAATTTTACAAA